AACTGTAGGAGGAGTAGCATTTTGAAAGAATTTCACAGAAAATTTTTAGTAACCACGGCAACACCGTTCATCGAAATCAAAAACAGATAAACAGAACTATGTATCTTAGTGTAGTCTACTTGTGTGTCAAGTTATATTGAAATCAGACCGAAACTGTAGGAGGAGTAGCATTTTGAAAGAATTTCACAGAAATTTCTATTTTTAGTAACCACGGCAACACCATTCATCGAAATCAAAAACCGATATACAGAATTATGTATCTTAGTGTAGTCTACTTGTATGGCAAGTTATATTGAAATACCAAAATTGTTAGCATTTTGAAAAATTGTTTACAGACAGACAGACAGACAGACGGACGGACGAATTTACATCGCATACAATTTATATATTAATTTATAATCTCTTTTATACATAGATTTGGTAACATTTGGCTCAGTTGTTTTAGAGAATTTCTAGGACTTAAGTAACAGATGTATATTTCTATCTAATATTATGACACATACAGGCTCTGTAATATTCTGTAATGAGCTCTGGTTAGTTTCTGCTATGAAGCATTATTGTAGTTTTGTTGAATGTTTTGTGATCAAGAAATATGAGACTTTATACATACATGTATACTGCTGATTTTATTATGCATATACTCAACAGTATAGAATTAGCCAATAGGGCCTGAGGTACCGTATATCCATTTTTTTTTGCGATGATCTATTTTTTGCGACCATTTTTAATTCGCAAATTTTAAAACACGTAGAAATTATGTCAGCTCTAATGTGACATAAAACATTACCATTTTAAACTTTAAAAAAATGTTTAATCGTAAAAAATATCTTTCACAAAATAAAAACTGTACTAATCTACCCCTTTTTCACAAAATTTCCAACACACGAAAAAAAGAAAACAGATATATGGTATAAGGGCCTATATCAATGTGATTTTATTAATCTGAATCTTTTATATTTTAGAACACAACTTCTAGATGAGGGCAGAATCACATTAATTTAGTTACTGTAGTATCTCTTTAACAATAAATGTACAAATATTTTTTTACTTTTTTATCAGGCTGATGAAAGGAATTTCATCAAACAATTTATATATTTTTTAATCTTAATCATTAAATTTTATAAGAAAGCATAAAGCTTGAGAAAATACAGTAAAATTTTTAAAAATTTAATCTGATTAGTAGTACAGCATGCTAAATTACACAGTGATCATGCTCCAAATATCCACTGGAAATCAGTGCCACGAACTTGAGCTAAAATCAATTTTAAGCACAGAAAGGAGCACTTAAATAGAAATTCCAAGACCTAAAATTCCTGACAGTTTCCTGCCTCATGAAAAAAAGGAAGTTTGGTAATAAATCTAATTACTCAGTGCAACGAATAAATAAATTATATATTATAAGGTGTCTTATCGTGATAGATAAAATTCACATTTCTTTTTGCTTTTTTTTAAAAGAAATTACACTTACATTTTAAGCAATTCATTTAAAAGCTGCTTTAGTACATATCATAAAATATTTTTGATCATTGAATACAATTCACTATAAAAACTTCATGAAATCTATTGAAATTTTACGGGGCAACAATTGTTTTCATTTAATTTTTATTTTCCTATGAAGTATATATTTTAAAACATCTACATGAGAAGCAAATTAACATACTTGTCTTGGTTGTTGTGGCTCACAACTCCAATTTGTTGAAGATGATGTTTTATCACTTATCTATAATGTTATTTTCATTCACATGTTAACATGATATATCTAAATGAAGTTGAAATAAGTCTGTCACATCTGTTCCATACTTGGATGTTTTACAAACTATAGGTTTTTAAATATTTTCCTTTTTTAAAATCAAACTGGATAACTTTAGATTTTCCATCATCAACTCCATCAATATTTATGTAATTATATTCCACTGTGACAGTCACATATAGATGGTGTTCAAGGCTCTAAAATGATTTTTCAAAAGAGAAAGTTACTCTTGTAATTTATTTTAAATCTGGCAAAAGCTATTGACAAATAAGTTGATGTTCTAGGGCTTGTAACTCTCTGTTTAATGCCAGGATTTAAAAAAAATCTTTGGTCAATATAATGACTTTATACTTCAAATACAGCCTATCATAGAGTTGTACTTTTACCCACACTCCTGATGATATTACCCATCAATGGTTTTAAAAGCCATTGTTTTAACGACCTTCGATCCTGATATTTAAAGTCTTAAACTTTTTTTGTCAAGTATATTTTTAGTTTCTACATACATAGCTTAATTAAAATTCAAATCAAAATCAGATCAATATGCTTCTTTTGGCGCTACAGTGCATTAAATATGACCTTTTTGCACTGAAATTTGTGTCTTAATTAAAAAATCACATATTCCATGTTTTCCCTCCAATATTTGCAATTAAAGCATAAAACAAAATAAACTCTAAGTCGATTTAAAAAAAGACACTTTAAAATTGTGACTAAGAAAAAGTTTCAAATTGCTACGCATAATCAATTATTTGACCTTTCTGCACTAATAAAATGTGATTTTTCTGGCATTGAAAATTTAATAAGCAAGAAAATTATTTTAAAGTCTTAAACTTTTTCTGATTTTAAATAAATAGCTCAAAGTTATCTAGAATATTTCGAAAAGAACATCAAAAGTGGGGGTATATGATGTAAATTTTCAGGTATTACTAAAAAAGTGTCAATTAATTACATTAAAATTGGCTCAATTTTTCCCCGGGTTTTCAGAATATATTTACTAAATTTGTCACACTTTGTTGATAGAATTCATGAGAAATAATTTAATAGATATTTCAGAACCACCATAACACATTTCACTGCAAAAAAAAAAACCAGCTTTGTGTGCAACCAGCATGGAAAAATAGGAATCCAAAATTAACAGTACTGTTATACAAAAAATGTAGTTCAAAAGGGAAAAACTGATCATTTTCGTCTAAAAAACCTTCCACCACAAAATATAGTCCCTAGCTTAATTCTATTTGAATGGAATTTAATCGCATTTTTTTTCATTGAATATAGTTCAATTTACATTGTAGAATTCAGATTTAATGTTAGAACTTAAAAATGATGCAGAATTTTATAAATAAAGGACATCAAATGTCCTTAAACCTATTTTTCTATGGATCTCTCCATTTATATGATCAATACACATGAAGCAGTTGTGCACGTGATTTGGATGCTTATTCCTCTTAGGCTCTTATGTTTAAGAACCTGATCTTAGCTGGTTTTGTTTTTTCTTTTTCAGTATTCTTTACTGGATTTTTCACTGTTAGTGGTCTTCACTCTCTTCATGTTATCCCTAAGGTAGCTTTTCACACTATAGACTCAAGAGTACAAATTCCAAAGTAATTTTATGTAGTTAGATAAGATTTATACAGTTGATGTAAAAGTAAAATAAATGGAAATCAAAAGTAATGACCCAAATTTAAAATACCGGTAGATTAAAATATTTCTGACATTATTTTAGACACTGATAAATAACTGAATTCAGGAATTGTCTGAAAATCCAAAAAACTACTTTCATTCATGTATAGAGTATCTTGAGAAAGTCCTTTTCATGCATGCATCAACTTTACTTTGTCCCGTACAATAAGGCTGGAGCTTCCATTATTTAGATAAAGAATGCGACATGATAACCATGAGTCATTATAACAAATCTTTTCTGTATCTGTATTTCCACTGCATTTTTTACTGTGTAACTAATGACTCTTTACAATCCCCATATTCCACTTTAAACAGATTACTTGGAGGAGAAAAAAGATATGGCACCATTCCTGTCATTGCAGCAACATTTTTGATCTTGTTATCAAGTTCCCAAAAGACATTAAACAGTCACGCAGTCAACATTGATTTTTCGAATCAAGTAAACATGATTATATAGTTTTAATTTACCATTGCCCATGCCGCACCTTATAAAGCTGGTATTAATACCATAACTGTTTTAAACAATGAATAATGAACATGAAGGATGACAAAAGACAGATTATGAAGTTCTTTGTCTGAAAGACAAGGATTTTAACATCCATTACCAGGGTTATAATCATCCATCTTCTCTTCTCATTGATAGTAATTAAGCCCCAATCAGCAAGTTAGTAGCTATATATTACTCTAAACTAAAATAGTATGTATTCCCTGGAGATCTTGGGGGTGGGGGTGGTGGTTTCTATCTTGTCAGTAAATGCATTAAATTAATGCATAACACTGATGCATATCAAATGTTATGCTTAATGCACTATATAGGTTGAACTTTGAAAAATATTTTTTTATGTGCAGGTAAATGTCTCTCATATTAAAAGTTATTGAAAGATAGTGTTTGCCATATTCACAGAACATTCCCAATAATGGCCTGATGCAAGATGCAAATATTTTGGCATTCAGTAAAATATACACATAAATATATACCGTACTCAATTAACCAGTCTCCTGTTCACCAACAGGGAGATAAGAGAAGGATTTCTTGAATGAAAAGTTTATGTAAATATTTTTCTGAATTGTCTGCTAAAATGTCTGCATCCTGCATCCTGCCTATTTTAAATTCCACTAAAATGTACAAACAGCTTCTACTTAACTGCATGTCAACAACTTAACCATTAAAATGTCTTTATTTTCATGCTATATTGTCCTTTGGATGAACTAAAAATGCCCAACACTGTAACAACCACATGTAGCATTATTAGCTTCCTTTTTTAACAGTGTTTTAGAAAATGAATATATATTTTTGCATTGTCCATATACTGTATACAGTATTTCGCCCCTTTCCTCCTTGTCACAAGTGGGTGAATTTAAAACTGGGCGAATTTTAAATTCTTAAACAGAAATGGGACTGAGCTAATTAAAAACTGGGCAAATTTGTAAGCAAAGGGTGAAAATAGCCCAGGGTCAATAATATAACCCTGTATACAGTATATCTATCTAACCTGTATATACCATTCCTTTTAAAACATTTTGAACATTCCCGATTTCTATACCATATCTTCAGACACCCAGTACTTACTTCTCTTCTGTGATGAGGCCTGCAGTATGGCCGTTACCAGGTCCGAGTTGTGCTGGAGCTTAGCGACTCTCCTATCTCTTCTCTTCAGCTGACGGACTAATCGAGACGACACAAAATTAATCCGATGTTGTAGTTCCTCTACGGTCTTCTTCAATTGATCAACACCTACAAAAGAGGTTTGAACTCATCATTTTCTATAAATGCGTATATTTATATGGTTTTTAACTGAGAAATATCTTTACAAATACTATTATTTCCTGCATGCTACCATAATTAGACATACACATGTATATGAATAATTCAAAAAGTAAATACAGTATGATCAAGCTAGCTTGCAGATTTGTCATAAATTGAAAATTAATCCAAAGTTTATATAATATATAAACTTTGGATTAATCTTCAATTTATGACATATCTGCAAACTAGCTTGATCATACTGTATTTACTTTTTGAATATATTATATGAAAACTTTTTGAATATATTATATGAAAACTCTTTTTTCACTGATACAACTTTACACTCAGTAAACTTCAGATCTTTCAAAAGATATAAAATGTTAAATTATTTTTAAAAATTCATCCCTTAGTTTCGATAATCATCCCTCTTGAGAGAAAAAACTATATAATTTATATTAAGAGCCATTCTCTGTAATGACTTGAAATTTTATATAGGAGCCGTGGCACGCATAGTCTCAGAATTTCTCCAAACTCTCTATGATAAAAGTAATTGATACCCTTAACTGAAATCAGGCAAAAATTGGTTGCTATGCTTTATAGTTACCATGGCAACATGTCTTAAAGTACGAAAAATGGCATTTTTTAACATGTTTAGAGCCCCATAGTTAACATTTGCGGCAAAGCAAACAATTGGCAATGACTGTTTCCAAAAGTTGAAAGTCAGATGTCTCAAATGCATGATAAACATGTTTGGTAAATAAACTATTACATACGTTACTATGGTAACAAAGTAATCAAAAGTAAAAAAAAACATTCATTGAATTTTATAAAGTCATACACGTTAAATAAAAAGCAATCATAGGATGAAATGTGACCAAATAATAGAAAAAAGAGCCTTGAAACATATACCAAGAACAAAATATGATATTTCATTTTGGTTGGCAATGGTTGCCAAGGTTTTTATACCACAGAGAGCCTTCAAAGTAGCACTCTGTAGGTTTAAATCTGATCCTATCTTTTCAAAAAGCACATTTCCTCATAATTAATGATCAATTTTTAAAGATGTTAGTGTGCTCCTAGTTTTCCCATTTGAAAAAATTCAGATTAGATTCTTTAAATAGAGCGTTGCTATGGAAATAAGCAGGAAATATATGCTTTAAAACCTGAAAAATATTTTATTTCCTTGGATACATACCCTTAAATGTAGATTCCCAAAACTTTTATGATTGATATTTATTAACAGCTAACCTGACTTTTAATTTTGAATATCATCCAATCTCTAAGTGGATGCAAGAAGTTGGCACACAGGGTTTAATATTGATATAAAGTTCACAAAATCGAACATTTTCCCTTCTTGGTTACCATAGCAACAGTGTTGTTTTCTTCATCAAATTTTATCAATATATGATATTCAACTTCAGTTCTACAGATGAGAAATATCTTTGAAAAGTACTATTCAAGCTGAGTCCTTTAATTTGTTTCTTGATTTTATGGCATTTTAATTCTTAATGCAGCGAAAAATAATTCACTTTTAAGCACTGGTACTTTTTTTCCATGGTTACACTGCAAAGTAGCAATTATATCCAATTTTTCTGATGGTTTTCGTGTTGCAAGGTCCTAAGGATGCATATTTGCCAGTCTTGAATTTTCATGTTTTTCCTAAGATATAGCATTAACCCAATCTTAGTTACTGGTTTTGCATGGTTACACTGTGTTACCATGGCAAATAAAAGTTATTTATAGAATAATATTGCTTATACCTATATACTTAAGGTCAAACATTTTGATTGTTTTTCTTAAGTCGTTGATTGAGTTTGAGCATGTAACACCTACCATTAGTGAATACGGAGTGTTTTTCAGCATATTTCCAGCATTTTAAATGTATTCCAAATGTATTTTTCTTACCACTTTCTTAGAGATATATTTAAACAATTTCTTTACAGTATAAGTGACATCAAGGTGTCATGTTTTTGTGAGAATGGATTGTTTGCTTTTTCTAGTTTGTATTAAGCCACAGTCAAAATTTAAAGTGGCTGAAAATCTCGATTTTTCAAAGTTTTCCGGCTGTTGCCATAGCAACCGAGACACTTAGCAACGAAATTTTGTTTGATATTTGTTTCTGGTGTCATGTACTAAGCATGGGTGAAGTTTCATCAAAATCGGTGACCATACAGTTTCAATAATCAATTGGTTACAGGAAAATATATAATTTGAATTATTTAACTTCAAAATGAATGATTCCTCAGTACCGTCATGAAGTCTACTTTATAGTCGGCTTACTTTATTAGACTTTTTAAGAGAAAGAAAGATAACTCATACCAATGAGCATGAAAATCTACATCTCAACAGCATACATATATAATCATGATATACATGTAGTTTTAATTGATTATATTTTCTGACTCATTATTTCATTTTATTATAAATCTAAACTTCATTTTCTTGACAAATCGATGTATGATGTTAATTGGAAGGGAACTATTAATAGTACATATAATTGTAAAAATATTCAGATCATCACTTCTTTTTAATTTTAGTAAGCTCAAACATATTAATTAAATAATAACAAATTAATAAGAGCAATATTTTTAATTGAACTTAATTTACAGGCATTAACCTTGTGACCCAGAAAAATGCAGAATGTAACATACTATAAAGTTGATATGAATTACAGAATATATAACATAATCAAACATGTAGCTAGCTGTTGTAGAACATACCAGTCTTAGCTATTTACATTGGCTGCCATGCCATTCTAACAGATGTTGCAATGTTTTATCAAGTTTTATTAGTTTGTAATGCAATAAACTGTCAAAAGAAATCAATATGTCTCTTATATTAGAGCATCTGTATATTTTCTCATTTTCCTTCATACGAGGATACATCATATGTATTAATTACTGTATAAGTTGAAATAAGTAATTTTATAGCCATTTTAAAATTCTCACTTAAGAGGCTATTTACAAATAAAACACAATTAATTTTTAACGATATTTTAATTTTGGCAATCTCAGCACCCTCACTAGTACAGCAAAATATAAATATTTTCCCAAAAACTCTTCTTATGTATTACTGTATTTTTTAAAGTATATCAAGAAAGTTTTTCAATGATGATTTAACTCAAAAATTTCCTAACCTATTTTATATTGCAATTTTGACACAATATCTAAGCATAATTTTATATGCATCTACCATCTTTAACTCTTTTTGCTCAATTTAATTTTTTTGAAATGAAATTTTATCAATCCTGAAAATAACCACCATTCCCATCGATCATCATAAAATATATATGCATTGAACATGTACATAAATTTATGCATTTAATCAAATTAATAAACTATAAAATCTAATATTCTGTTCAAAAATAAAATGGATCAAATAATGATAAAAACAATATATCCATAAAGCAAATGGATCAAGTGATACACTATGACTATTTTAAAATATCTAGAAGTTAAAATATCTCCATGGGGCTTTGGAAATGACTGGTACGTGTAGTACTTATAATGACCAATGCAACATGTCAGTCCAACTACTGTATAAAATTATTGGTGTGTAAATTAATAATACAACACATGTAAAATCTAGACTTTTACAGCTAGGGGTTCTACATGTTGAATGTGGACCAGTAACCCTGGTATAATAGGATTGATCTAGGTGTCAGATAAGTTTGAGGAGAGTATATCACCTGAGGTATGGTGTCATTGGAGTGTCCATGCAGTGAACTTGTTATAATAACAAACTCAAGTAATAAATAACAACATAAATCTAATCCACTCTTCAATTTGGGAAAATTAAATCATGAGAAATAGTTGCCTTCAGCAGAATGTACTTGATGATAATGAAGTAGATTACACATGTTAGAGAAAGGTCTTATTTGAGGATTAGCACATTCATTATTATGTGCATGTAATGGAAGAACCTAGTATAAAACTATTATAATACAACTGTATTTCACATATTCTGCCATCAATTGGATAGCTATAGATTCTGATTATACATGTAAAGTTAGATTTCAGAGACTTTAAATTCTAGTCATGCAGACAAATTTTTTATTTCTGTAAAATTAATGCATTTAAATTTTATTGCAGTTCACAAATTTTTTATATACTTTAGCCATCTCTAGGGGTTCAAGGGAAGGCCATCTGCCGGCATCGGATGGCACTAGTAACAAAAGTGTATTTATTACCAAACCAGTCAACTTATTTCAATTTAACTTACTAGAAGATGATCAGCTGTGAATCATGACCTTGAATCAAACTGAAATCGCAAGAAATAGGTGTATATCCTTTTTTGTTCTCATCATCCATTCAGATCCATTCATACATGTATACATGCAGTATTTAAAATTATCCTGTTTTATTTTTTGTTTGTTTGTTTTTTTATTTTTCTTAAAACAGGTTAAATGAAATAATAACATTCTCAAAGGATTTAACAACAATCCTCAAGCAATACTATAAAAATAAATAATCTGGTAAATAATATTGTTAAATGCAAGTATAAATTGAAGTGTATTTGAAAAAAAATCATCTCCTGCAGAAAATTCAGAAATTTTTATCAGTGAAAATAAAATTATCGTAGCTACTTCTGGCTAGTAGACTTGACTTTTTAGAACACAAAAAACATGTACATGTACATCTGCTAAAATATTATAAAATGAACATAAAAATGCCTAAAGACATGAAAGTGTAAATTGCAAAATGAATTCATTCAACAGATATTTATGAGAAGAACAAAAAAGAGATAGATAGAAGTGAGAAATTTCTGAAAAAAAGTGTACTTTGTGTTTGTAGAACAGAGGGGAGGATCCGGGTGGAGTGTTTGTTGTCATTCTCCAGTTGAAAAGAATTCCTTCGCCAATGATACACCTCCGACGTGCTGGAACATTCAGTAAATGTGTCGCTCTCAAAACTGTCATGGCGTCCATCATGCCACCGATCATAGATCTCAAAGAGAAGATCATCCACAATGGATGTTTTGCGGTCTTGGTAGGATAAGTCGGAGACTGATCCAAATGATGATGACATTTCAAACTGCATTTGAAGATGCTGCCCACTCTCTAAAGAGAAATAAAACAATTTTGTAGTCATGGTAATGTTTGCAATAGAATAAATCTTTATCATTTATTTTATAAAAGCTTAACCCATGTTGCACATGACTATTTCTTTCACCTGCAAGTAATAAGTAATACATGCGTAAATGCAATCACCAAGTAAACGTAGATGCATGCCGTTATAATTCATGTTAGTAGCATACTCAGTGCATCCAGTGGCTATAGTAAAATTTTAAACAAACATTTTACTATAAAAGCACAAAATATGAACACAGACAATTAATGCTTTGTAAGAATCAAAACATAAAAAATCTGAACAAAATTTTAACATTATATAGTTTACCATGTTTACTGCTGAGTAAGAGTTGCACATAAAACATATTGTAAAATGAATATGGAAAATGAATAAAGATTATTCTTGACTTTTTAAATGATAGTACATTTTTCATGCTGGAATATATACATGACAATAAAGACTAATCAACTCACAACTGTCTGCTTTTTCCATTCTCCATCATGTCCATGTTCAAAGTCATTTTTTAATATCAAAATAAGGCTAAATACTAAGTCAGACTGTCAGATAGTAAGTACTAAAAGTTTACCACAATTTTAATACCTCACTATTGTCGGAAAAACACAAATAAGTTTCACTCTCCCCGTGTATTTTATATAGTTTGCATGATCATTTCATTAAAATCAATTTAAACATATTACTGCGTTATCAAAAAAAATCACCGTCCATGAGTTAAAATCAAAGAGACTTTGCAATAAAATGAAAATCACCCAGCTGTGGCAGTAAATGTTTGGTCAGTTCATTTATCTTAGCTGTGTTTTCAGTAACACTGCCACTGGCTATGAATACATTTTATTTACAAGTTCAACATCATTAACCACTGCATCATCTGTCAATAACGAAAATCGACTCATTGCAGACTGAGTCACTCAGCGTAAAAAACGTTTAAATGGTTGGCTCACTACATACCATTTTCTTCCAGTGCACTGCATTTTAAACTAATTCCTAGAAACAAATTGCGATATAATTAATCGGATGAGTTCAGAATTTGTATATTCCATATTTCACGCTTGTTGCAGACTTGTTGGCAAAACATTGAAGAGTTCGATGATTTTCTTACCTCCAATTATAAAGAGTTTAGTTTCACTTTGATTGGCGCGAATATTTGAACATGAAAAATGTATATCTTGTGCACAAGTACTTAATTTTCATCAATAAGTAGTCAAAAAAAAAAAAAAAATTAACAGGAGTAATTCCGACACTGTTTATATAGTTAGGACCTAATTTTGTTTAACAGTTACTAACAAATGCCCTGGAGAAGTTGAGGACCTGAGCATCAAATTTAATTGGGCCTATCGTCTAGTCCCCTTGTCGGCTATTTAGAAGGTGAATCTTATGCTGAATCCATGCTGCATATCAGATGTAATGTTTTGTTGGTCGAAGAATCCCTTGTTCGAGCTATACCTTTTATCATCGGTACAAACTGTACATAGTGCAAACACGGATCTCCGACTTAAAAAAAAACCTCGTCAAACCCAATTTAGCATTAAAATAATGAACTAAAATTTGCAAAAAGGACTTCAAGTTCAACATTCAACTTGACGACACCATTCATTTCTGTCATGTGAATCGTCCATCAAAGGATGACTTTAATATAAATAGAGTCGAGCTTGGTTTTCTCTCTATACAAAAAGGATATGGAGATAACGTAGCTGCAGAACTGTAGCTCTCCAAAAAATATAATATTGACAGACCGGAGAGCTACAGTGCCACCCATTGAAAAAAAAATGTATATTTATTGCAAACAAAAAAGTGCGTTCGGTTACAAACCATTGCAAAAAAGCTAGATTTCAAAAAAGTCCTTACTCCTCTATAAAGTACTCTCGTAGTTTACATCTGTACGTAGCGCTTTGGGCTGAATTATCTTGCAAAGCAAAATGGCAGGATACATAGACGAAATTTTCGATGGTCTCAGTTTCAGGGCCAGGATGGCTATCATAAACAATTATAAGGAATGTTTTGTTGTGAAAACAGTGAAAGAATATTTTAGGAACACACGATTAGTAATATTTTGAGAGGACAGTTTTAAAAATATGGAGAAATAAATTGAGAAACAGCGCACTTTTTTGTGCGCAATAAATATACAGCTTTTTCAATGGGTGGCACTGTATAGCCCTCCGCGGTCTGTCAAAAAAAAAAAAAATCGGAGAGCTACAGTTCTGCAGCTAGAGATAACGAACAGTATTCAATATCAAAGTCCGTAAGACAATGCAAAATAGGAGCAGAGCAAACACGGACCTCTGAAACATAAGAGGTGGGATCAGGTGGCATGGAGGAGTGAGCGTCCCTGCTGACCTGTCACATCCACCGTGACATTGTCATAATCGGGAAATAACGGTAAAAACCGTCGTCAACTCAGTGTATAAATAATTGACTAACAATTAGTATAAAAAACGCAAGTCAGCAACTGCCCCAATGATAAATCGTATCTGCTGACAAGGTCAATCGACCATAGAACTTACGAAATGATGACTTTAAACAAAAAGCTTGTCGATTTCTTTCCGATTAATGACTCTAGGCTGAATACATGTAACAATTTGTTTCTTAGGGCACAGGAGTTGGCGTACCTAACAATTTCACAGAAATTTTCAGTATATTAAAAAATACGTAATAACTTATATAAAAGGTTTTATTATTATAGGTACTACCTTTTTTTATTTACTGAAAAATTCATACTGTAAAATTGATACAGGTACGCGAACTCCTGTGCTTAAAGCTTTATTTCTCTGAGTTTAGGTAGACGAGAGAAAATGGAATCATCATGTTTATCGAAAAAAAAAATTCGCACAATAGATAAGTTAAAGTTATTTATCAAGTTTATCATAATGGATAAGTTAAATTGGCAACTGTATACTTTTGTAAAAAAAAATGTCCAAATAAGAAGCATTTGTGTCAACCACCGTATGCGTTGTGTCTTTAATTTCTAACTCAATGGGATAGATGATAACGAATCAATATACATATATGCTGAAGACTGGGGAGATCTGCATCAAATGATATGACATGAAGATAAAGAACAGTAAGCAAGATCAAAAGTCCACCTAAACAATTTAATACAAATCGGAAACAGACACATACATGTCTCTTAAACACCAGAGGTGGGAACACGTGCCACAGGAGTGGAATTATAAAATATATCAAGATAATGAACAGTATTCAAGTTCAAAAGTCCGTTAAACAATGCAAAATTGGAGCAGAGCAAAGATGGACCACCAAAGCATCCGAGGTGGGATCAGGTGCCATGGAAGAGCGAGCATCCCCTGCTGACCGGTCACTCCCGCCTTGTGCCACTTGTCATGATCGGGAAATAACGACGAACTCCATCCACAATTCAGTGTAAATAATGGCCTAACATTAACAAACAATTTAATGAAACAAGAATATCAGCAGACTCTTTAAAGTAATCATTTTGTAAGTTCTATGGTCAATACAATGACCTTGTCAGCAAATAAAATTGATCATTGAGTCAAATGATGACTGACGTTGTTCATACTTATTATTACACCATTATTTACACACTGAATTATTGATGGATTTCCTCTTTATTTCTTGATCATGACAAGCTGCATAATTAAGGAAAGTTAACGTTTGAAATGTTGAAGCCATCACATTTATCATAAAGCTTGGTTGTTTAAAAATTGCCATTGACGTCTTTTTCAAATAAAGTATCCAATTATAAAACAGATGTGTCAGACTCTGTGGTATGTTTTATTCAAGCACCACTGGAATATATGGTATTGGCATTAGAATGGCAATAGCCATTGATAATCGACGATACATCGTCGATATATCTGAATGTCCATTCGAAGGTCATGCATAGCAAGTGTCCTCTTCTTTCCACATATAAGGTCTAATAACGGGGTACCAATGAGAATTCCAATAGATTATTGGAAGACCTAGTCTCCAAAAACTGCATAGATGTTGTGAATCAGAAACTAAAGAACGCTTTTAATATCAACTTGTGTTTATAATATATTACAATGTTTTAAGCATCTCCTGTCAACTGGTCCGAGCTGTCTTGTGCTCTTTGACATGACTGGACAAACGGGTGAAAATTCCTCGATAAATCAGGGTTTAAATAATGGCCAAACAATTAGTCTGAAAAAAGTCAGTCAGCATTTGAATTAATGTCACTTGTAAATTGTATTTGCTGACAGGGTCATTGCATCAACGATAAAACTTGCGAAATGATGACTTAAAACTAAACTGTTGAGATTCTTATTTCATCAACTTGTTTGCCAAAAGTTTGCCTCTTTTTAGAAATTGATCGTGCGTGGAGCATGTTCTTCCATATTGAATGAACTGGGAGACAAAAACACACACAGAAAATAAGCGTATACGAGTTGCTACATAAGTAAAGACCGAAAAATCGTCATCATGTTTATCATTAAGTTCTGTTGTTGGATTACAAAACATGTCTACCATTGATATTCATGAAAATTGCAATAGAATATGATGTATAAATATTCTTGAAGGCAGAGCACACTTTTATAACCGTTTCTATTTAACAACTTTAAACCAGTTAAGGAAGAATACTAGTATATAAGAAATATGCATATTATACAGTTTTAAAATTAATATATTCCGCTCTCTATGAAGATTGTAAGAGAAAATTTAATTTCCCTTTTAAATTTTCCACATACGAGAAAAGTTTATTTAATTTTTGAATAAAAAAAAATAAGCAAATGAATCGACATCTGTTTAGAATAAAAGTGCAATGTTAATGGAATAACATATATATGATCTTAATTAAAGACCAGATTTTCACATTAGATTTTCATCAAAGCACAAGTGTAACCGTTTTTCTTTTTCTTTTTTTTTCTTTTTTTTTTTTAATATTTTCTTAGCGCCATAATAATGTTTCAACTGGGGAAAAATCTGTTGTTGATACCGTCTAACATTAAATCTAATGATTTTAGAAACTTGGTCCAATGTTCTCGTCTTTGTTTCTTATTTCTAGTTACATCTTATTTCGTTTAATTAAGGAAGTGTATTTCCATCTTAAATTGCAGCATCGTGTACTTACTGATTTACAAAGACAGTAATGAAAATCAATATTTCTCACCCCACCTCATATGAATAAATCCTTGCCTTATCAAACTTGAAAAAAATGTTGAAATCAGTTGGCATGCATGTTTTAACGTTAGTTACATTAAAAAAAAAAACAAACGCGATAAATATTTTAAATTAAATTAGGAAACAAACGTTAAGAAATAGATATTTTCGAGATTTAATTCAGAAGAAACTCAAGAGTTTACCTTAAATTTCAGTTAAGAACAAGGAAACTTTTTAATATTAATTTTGAAACTGTGACAATTTCAAAATCTCGACACGTTTTATTTTACGATTTCTGTGAATGGAATACATCTTGCCAAGAGAAGTTCGACATTTTTCTCTCAAAAAAGGGTAAGTATACAAATCTGAGGATGAACAGAGTAAGTGGTGTTCTCAGAAACAATCAGTACTATAAAAGACTTTTAAGTAATGCAGAATTTTAAAGATATTTTTATGATAAAATATTCCAAAATATGAGTTTGATACTTTTTTTAATCAAAGGACAATACCTGCTTATGTCTTATTTTACGAATAACATCGTTTATTTCGTCTATTTCCTGTCGATAGTCAGTTTTCAGTTAAGAATGAAAACTAAATACTTTTAATATCCCACTGTCTACTTTTGTTTAACGAGTGAGAAAATATTTGAAGAATGGAAAGGAATTCAACAGAGGAAAAGGACCATTAGGGTTAGGAAAGTAGCCACATTTTTCTACATTAAATGTTTTATTTTAAAAACATTCGATCAAACCTTCTTTTGGTATGTAAGTGTAAACCTCTTTTTTTTTTTCAATTTTATCACACAAATAAAGGTAGATAGTGAAATTATAATTGCTTTAGTGATTCACCAGATTTTACTGAAGCTTACTTATGCATGTACATAACTAATATAAACTTTCTCTTTTTCAAAAGCAGCGATTTTGAAAAAACAAAACAAAGTACACATAAAAAAGCAGGTAATCTATGAAAAATGTATGTTTCATAAGAAAGTTGGATGCTTGTCATTATCCCAAAATTTTGGATTGAAAGTGTTACAAAAAATTTCAGCATCTTCTAGGAATACTAAATATGATTCAATTCATAATTCATTAAACTAAGCTGATTTGAAATAAACCGATTCATTTTAAATATATCCTACAATATGAATTGATGAGAAACCTTACAATGTACTATAAAATCAAATTTTCGGGGGTCAAATTTTCGTTGCTTGGGTAAAAACTCTTGGTTCGTGTGGATTTGAATTCGAGGAGGAGAAATTGTTGAGTAGTTATGTATGTAACATTTTACATTTAGTGGTGGACATGATTTCGTGGGTCTCTTCATACCTCGATAACAACGAAAATTAAACCCCCACGAAAATTTGTGATTTCACAGTATCCTACATTTTCTATTTCCAAGACAATAGTTTTCTTCCAGGTTAAAATGGACAAAGCTGTAACCTTCTTCATATTTTGTCCTTTTATCTACATTGCGTCATCAGATTCTTTGGGTGAGTTTTTTTTCTTTTTGAAAATACAATAAAATATGAAAAATTCAGAATTAAAGACAATGTACAACATTCAAGCTCAAAGTTCCTTTTTTACTTATTGATAGCAACATTTTGTAAAATATATTATAATTACTTAAATTTCGATGCATTCCAAATATAAATGTCTTTTTGTTTGAATAGTGGACTGTGAATTCGATAGAGATTTCTGTTATTGGAATAGTTTGGAAAAAGATTACGACTTTCTACAGATTGATACAGCATTTTGTGGATTTGGTGGAGAGATTAAAAAATGTCGTTCTACAAACTTTATAGCCGGCGCAAGACACTGGCAGATAGCCAGTCTCACAAATAACAGTCTATTACTAAAGAATATTCCACGAGGTATCAAAACCAAAACATATGTCAATCATCTTCTAAAGAAAACTTGTGAAGCGTTAGAAAATATTTTATTTTTTTGCTCAATATTTTTTGTTCAAATTAAAGTATTTAAACATTGACTCACTATTTTTAAATACATGTACATCAAAAATTGTATAGCCTTTAATTTGCTTCATTTAAACATCGTACCTCTAGTAATTTTAAACAACTACTAGTAAATTAAATGCAGCTCCAGGTTTGCAGAACTGTATGTATCTACCAGAGCGTACTAGTACATGTACATGTAAGCATATACAATCAACATTTTAATGTGTCAAAAAATGTTTTTAAAAAAGGATTAAATATAGAATTCTCTAATCTTGAAATTTAAGGCTGAAATAGAATGTTTTTCCTTTAAATATCTAAAAATTGTGAATAAATAATATAGAAATATTATATGTATAAGGCGCTTGAGTTTTTAAAGTGTTTTGTTCGGGTTATTGTAAAAGATCACAGTCTGACGCTTAAGAAACACTTTTTTTACATGATTGTTTCTTTTAGATCTGAGAGACAAAGCCAAAAAAGTTGCATACAGTGACAACACGCACTCCCACCAGCATATCACTACCCCATTCCAACAAGACTTTACAATGAGTCTGTTGTATTCACCGATTATTTCTGCCTCCTTTTTGCCTCGCTGTTTGAAGTATAGATACCTGTTGACCGGAAAAGCCCATATTTCGGTGTCATATTTGACAGCCTCTGATGATATCTACTCAGGCACTCCACTGATTGCGCATGCGCCTCTTGACATTTACAATTTCACCTACGGGTTTATCAATTTGCCATTTATCAATGATATCAGGGTATGTAGAAAAATATTTAAAATGCCGCAATATTCGTAGTACCTTTACATTTAGATATATCGACGACGTATTGTCAATTAACAAATTGTAATTTCCATTCCTACGTCGAAACGATATATCCTGGTGAGCTTGAGATAAAAGATAGCACAGAGTATGACACATCTGTTTCACACTTGGATATTTTACTTGAAAAAGACGTTAATGGTAATCTAACATCGAAGCTATATGATAAACGTGATAACTTTAACTTTTCTATTGTCAACTTCCCTTACTTATGCAGCAATATACCTTCATCATCTGGATACGGAGTATATATATCTCAGTTGATTCGATATGCAAGAGCATGCTCTACGTATGAACAATTTCTAAAACAAGGTAAATTATTGACAAGCAAGTTGATGAAACAAGAATATCAGCAGTCTCGATTAAAGTTATCATTTCGTAAGTTCTATGGTCGATACAATATCCTTGTCAGCAAATACCATCATTGAGTCAAATGCTGACTGATGTTTTTCATACTAATTGTTAGTCCATTTTTACACACTGACTTGTTGATGGTTTTCCCCGTTATTTCCCGATCATGACAAAGAGCACACGATGGTTGTGACCGGTCAGCAGGGAATGCTCACTCATCCATGGAACCTGATCCCACCTCAGGGATTTTAGAGGTCCGTGCTTGCTGTGCTCCTATTTTGTATTGTTTTTTGGACATTGATATTGAATACTGTTCGTTATCTCCATATCCGTCTTGATGAAAGTATTCTTATAGTTTTCTGAACATTAATTTTCGTTGCTTCATGGTGGTGCTCAACGAACTCCTAATGTGACGAGGAAGCTGTCCACCAATTTTACATTACTGATAATGTAGTGTTTAACAAAATATATATTGTAAAAACAAAACTCAGGAATTTGCTTGAGCAGATCGTTTTTCTATTTTTGCAGATACAATTTCGAGCATTTTTTCTGAATGAGGTAGATGGTATTGCAGCCCTGGATTATGTTCGCCTTATGGACGGATTTTGTATCAGTATGATATATATGTTTATCATGGCTTGTAACGAGAATATTTCAGTAACTGTAAAATTGTCTTACTTTCAACATGTTTAATGAATAACTATACCATATTTAGTCCTATATCAGAAATAATACAAAGAATATTATTTACCATTGCTGATCACTTTGTATATGACATATATCTTATAGAATAATTTTAGTCAGTTTCAATAAAGTTGTAATAAAAACAAAGTCCTAGATGGATTTATGCTGTTTGCATATAATTATGAGAAACCTCAATCAGAACTGTAAATAATTATGTAATTTGTTAGTAATATTTGAATGTTTTTTCACTAATATATAGATACATGCCCATGGAACTCTTTTACGTGTGACAGTTCTGAGTGTGTATCTTCTGAACAGATGTGTGATGAAAACATGGACTGTTCTGATGGATCAGACGAAACATTCTGCTGTAAGTAAAAATTAATTTAAGTTTTCTCAAAAATTCCATTTGTAATAATTTTGTAGAAAAACTGTTAATTCTTGGATGAGAATAAAAATAATTAATTTCGGCATTGCAGTTTAAAAAGTACTAGCAAAAATTCATGTCTTCTGTATTACATTTATATAGTGTCGTTCTTCTGAGTCTTATATTCTTGCTTTAAAGTTTTAACGAATACTTATCAAATGATTTAGTATCTTGATGGATAGGTTAAAATTTCATTACGTCTCCAGCACTGTCTTCGCTTCTTATTCATCAGATAAGAACTTCTTCATTGATGAAATAATACATTTTTTGCAAATATTTTGTTTTATGCATTAATATCATTAAGTTTCAAAATTATTTGTTCTGTACATTTTGTTTCATGTTCTTTTGGTAGTCATTTTGTTCATTCGAGCTACTATCTTTTCATTTTATCTCAACTGAGTTAATGCATATAATATGCATGTACTAGTATAATACTAGTATCTCAATGGCCTGGGGAGAGTTTATGTTAATGAGTAGACAAACGAGTTCTCGTCTTTCAAAAAAAAATATAATAAATACCTGAATATCTAATGGCTTTCTTAATAGATGATGCCAGTTTACTGACACCAAATCTGAACTGTAGTAGTATTTCCTTTCCAACAAAAAAGACGACAGAGTTTGATGACAACAGAGAGAAAGATAAAAATGATACCATCCCAGAACTGAATACATTTTCCACAAAATGCAATTTGAACATTTCTGAACCACAGGAGAGATTGAAGTTTACAGTTAAGGTTCAAGGCGCTTGTTTTCCACATGAGAGGCTTCAAAATTCTCACAAATTTAATGCTTCGATATTTAACATATCTTTTAATTTCAACAAGTCTGATTTTATTTTTTGCATCGATTGTTCATCAGAAAGAGTATCTAATTCCTCAAAGAGCTTGCCTTTATTTGCTTTTGCAGTGAATAAAACTACAATGCTTGTATTATCATCAAGTCCTCAAAGCAATTTATCCTTACAACATTACTGTGATCATTTTTCAAACAGCACTTCAAGAACCATGCGTAATTGTACCGACCCTGAAAACCATAATAAGAAATGTTCTTCAGATTTTTGTTCACAATGCTGGTTGTCATCTTTTCAAGGTAATGGTTTTACTAATGTGACCGTGAATGACTCAGTGTCTATCAGGAAAACAAATATATCAGCCCTCTTTATCAGCTATGACGATTGTGCTCAACTTATCAATTCCTCTGTAAAGAATCTTTATAAAGTCTGTACACTGGACGTTGTGACAAAGAATATTTCCCCGTTTCTACACAATTTCACAAAATGTGGTGAGCTTGATAACAAGAATACTTCATCTGATGCAGTCATAAGTACAAAATGTGGAAACACTTATGCATCCATGAACTGCAGTCAACAGACTACAGAAGATTCTTTCCCGTGTTACAGATTTTGTCCATCTGGATGTAACTGTTCAGAAGAAAGCAATACTTGTGTCAAACAGGATTGTCCTGCTTTAGCCCAGAGGATCTTTTTAAAGGGTGTTGAATGTGACAGAGTTGATGCATCTACATTTAAAACTAAGCATATTTTTCAACTTGAAATATTAAATGCAGTCATCAGGAGCTTAGAAATTAGAGCAGTTGGGAACATCTCATTGCATAGTATCGTAATTAAAGACAGTTCTATCGGTCACATAGATATAAGTCAAGAACCCTCTACGTTGAAGTCAATTTACATATTCAATACTTCATTATCTTCTTTTGAGGGTACTTATTTTTCAGCCACAGGAATGATATATGAATATACAACGTTTTCATACTTTTCACTTGGAATAAAGAAATTAGATAGACACCTACCACAGCACCTTGTTCGAGCGGTTATACGATTACAACCTAGAATACTTGACATATCTGGAAATAGCTTTGAAAACATGTTACCTTTGTTCCTTGCTGGGTTTGATGACATTGTGAATATAAGTCATAATAAATTGATGAACGCAGCAGAAATAAGTAGCAGGGTTGTGGACCTATCTTACAATGTTCTTGCGGCTTATTCACACTCTTACAGCAGTGTAGAGGTCCTATACCTCAACAACAATCGTCTCCAGTCGGCCTGGAGAGCCTCGTATCTTCCAGATCAGGACGACAACCTACGGACAGTGGATTTATCATACAATTATATAACAGTCATCCACGAGGGAGACTTACTATCAAGTAACCTTATCTATCTGAATCTGTCTAGAAACCTCATCCATACCGTCGAGGCAAGAGCTTTTTCCTCCACCACATCTCTAATCACTCTAGATTTGTCGTACAATGAGATCTCTCAAATCATTGACGGAACCTTTTCGCCACTGGGAGATTTAAAAGAACTTTTTTTGCAAGGAAATCCCTTTCAAGTTGTCGATGGGATGTTTACAGGTCTTTATAATCTGCAAATGATACAAGTGAGGCATTATACGATTTGTTGTGCAAAACCAAACAGCAAATATAAAGTAAACTGCATTACACCTGGGAATGAAATTTCTTCATGTGAAAATTTGATCGCAGCGCCTGTTCTTAATGTAGCTATATGGTACATAGCCTTAATAGCAGTTTTTGGAAATGTGCTTGTGCTTATTTATCACTTAATTAACCTTAAAAACAAAAGAGCAGGGGTGAACAGCATTTTAATGATTGGTTTAAGTTTTGCAGATCTTCTGATGGGCATCTACTTGTATGTCATCGCTATTACGAATCTGCATTACACTGGACAATATGGTCTGAAGGATCATGGTTGGAGGCATAGTTTAATTTGTATTGTTTCAGGAATAATAGCCACACTTTCAAGCGAGGCATCTGTATTTATTGTTCTCCTAATTACTCTTGAGAGATACATTGTTGTCAAATATCCCCACTCAGAATATAAATTTACCAGAAAAAGCACAATACTTTTCTTGATCATTTCATGGACACTGTCTCTCCTATTGGCTTTGATACCATTACTACCCGACACTGATCTAGAAAGTTTCTACACACAGTCAGGTGTATGTATTTCACTCCCTCTCTCTGTTGTCAAAAAGTCTGGATGGATGTATTCCATGGTTGTATTTGTGGGTATCAACTTTCTTCTTTTTCTTGGTATCATTGTTGGACAGGTCATCATTTTTGTGACGGTAAATAGTGCAAATGAAGATGTTCATTTGATGAAAATTAGACAAAAGGAAACATCGCTGACTTTGTCATTGTTTGTGGTCGTTATCACCGATATGTTATGTTGGACAGCAATAGGAGTTACAGGTAAGACATATTTGTAATCACCCAACCTACTACTCTTCATTTTCTTCGCAAATAAGACCATGCTATTTATTATATTGCATGTTTCTTCTGTCCATTTAAGGGATTTTAACATATCTGAAGATTGAAGTACAGGCAGAAATGTATGGCTGGGTGTCCTTGGTTGTTTTTCCCATTAATTCGGCCTTGCATCCCATTTTCTATTCTTTTGCTGAGAGCATAAGGAATAAGGTTTGGAGTTGGCCATTGAAAAAAAAATCGTTTAATTGATATGATTAAAGCTTTCAAAGAAGTCCATTTGATGCATTCTAAATTTACTATGTCTTAGTATGAACAAAATAAACTAAATGTGATTTTGCAGAAAAACAAAGATGAAAAGGTAGCACAACTTAAAAAGCAGCTGTTTCAGTTAAAAGTAAGTATAAATAGTCAGTTTCTTATGTCATTTATCTTTGGAATTACATTTTCTTTATTGATTATTACGAAGATAAATCTTTGGTAATTATTCTTTTGATGAAAAGAGCTAAATGAAAATCAAATATTTACAAAAATCTGTCCAATGTTTGAAATGACCAAAACTTATTTAAAACCTAAAGCTAGTTAAGAGTTCAGTTCACATTTTAATTTTCACTGTCAAAATCTAACTATTATAATATTAATTATTTTAACTTCAAATATTCGTTCTGCAGAACGTCTTTTTCAAAATCTCTGCGTACAATCTCTTTTACTTTTTTGTAGTCGAGACCAGAGGGCGGTAAACAGAAGGCTGTCAGTGCTGTTACAAACAAGGTCAAATAACCGCCGACATCAGGTTACTCCGTCAGTAAATTAAAGTCAAAGATGCTTAATGATTATATATGTTAGCTTGAAATCTAGAGCATTTTTTTCTTGTTCTATATTCTACTTTTAAAATGCGCTATATATCTTTTATATATAGATATTTCTGTATTTTGTGATTGTACAATTATTTGTAAATATTTTATTATTTAATCAAGCTTATTCTGTGTTTAAACATTCCCAGTGCTTCATATGATATCTTTTGCTATGTTTTGAATTAAATTTGACATTTCCTTTGAATTATTGCACGGTAATAGATTTTATGTCAATCACCAGCAAGGACATGCTTCTGCATAACTGTCATACTCCTGATTCCAAAGAATTTGAAAAGTCAAACATAATGGTTACCCGAGCACCTCCTGACAGTAATGCCTTACTTGTAATCGCCCCTTACTGATAATGCTCTCTGCTGCAAGTCACTGACCCTTTACACTTGCAATACCGGTCAAGACAAGAAAATTTACCCTTTTCCTTAAATGCAACATATGGAGATAACGAACAGCATTCAAGATCAAGAGTCCATAAAACAATATGCAATACAAAATAGGAGTAGAGCAAACAGGGACCTCCCAAACTTCGGAGGTGGGATCAGCATGATTACCATAGGATTACCATGGAGTAGTAAGCATCCCCTATCGACCTGTCACACCCTCCTTGTGCTCCTTGTCATGATCGGGAAATACCTGGAAAATCCGTTGTCAAATCAGTGTATATAAATAATGGACTAAAAATAAGTGTGAAAAACGTCAGTCAGCATTTGACTCGATGATAAATTGTATTTGCTGACAAGGTCATTGCATGTATCGATCATAAAACTTACAAAATGATGAATTTAAACGAGACATGCAGCTGAAATTCTTGTTAATTCAACTTGTTTGTCAATAAATTACCTCGTTTTAGAGATTGTTCATACATAGAGCAGTCTTGCTTATCGAATACAATGAGATATATAAAATCCGTATGCAGGTGATGAAGGTAATTAGTAAGGGAAATGTTAAAGTCATCAAGATTATCATAGAGCTTTGGTTGTTAGATTACCATTAACGTCTTTTTCAAATAAAAATCCAAGTATGAAACAGATTTGTTAGACTTTGAGGTATATTTTATCTCTTGCTCAGCAGAATACATCATATCTACATAAAAATGTAAATTGTCATTGTTAATTGATAATACATCGTCGATAAATCTAAATATACCGAGTTGAAGGTCACAGCAAGTGTTTTCTTCTTTTCAAACATAAGATTTTGCATAAATTCTGCTTCATATGAATACAAAAATAGGTCTGCTAATAACGGAACTCAGTTGGTACCAATGGAAATTCCAATAGATTGTTAGACGTGTTATTGTGTAATCAGAAACTCATGCATCTTTTTGATATCAACTTTAGAGTACTTGTCTGTCCAAACAGAATGTTTTTAACAAGATAATTTTGCGAATGACCAATGAAAAGGTAAGTTAATTTATGAATTCCATTTTTATTGAAAAAGCAGCGGTCAATAATATAAAACAGCCTGGACTTTAATCTATCATTGGGAATGGTTGTGTATAATTTTGAAAAGTCGTAAGTTTTTAAGCTGTTGAGTTTGGTGAAACTTGTGATTTCAAATTGTCCAAAAGTTTCTTGGAATTTTTAAGTACTCGGTATCCACATCTGATTAACACCACTACTGTAAATATCTTAGTGGGGAGTAAACAAAGAGGCTTGGTTGAACATTTACTGGATCCCGCTACGTGTCTTTGTCTGTAAGGATTCTTATGAAGTTTTGGAATCCAATATATATATGGTAGTTCAAATTCATTTTTTGGGGGATACTAAAAATATTCAAAACTGACATATTATTTTGAAGAATTTCTTCCTTACAAAGGGAACTACGAGTATAAGTTGCTTTACCATTTGTAGAATTAAATCCAAATTCTTCTAAAATACAATTTATATATTTTAACATTTTAACATGGATCTGATACATTTAATCCATTCTGAGAAAGTGTCAACGGCTTCTTTTACATATCTGGCCCATTGTTTGGCGTAATCCTCAACAGGGTCCATGATATTTATGAAATTCCATGAAGGATCAATTTTGGACCTTTTAAAATAAGTGATTGTCCTCATTATTAACTATATTTACGTCACCTGTAATAACGTGTCCAGCAGGACTATATATAGTTATAGGGTGAAGAACATGAACAAGCTGGAGGATTATGTTTCATATACTCAATATCCAGGCCGTGTAAGGTTTTTTTCATAATTGAAAAGATTGGAATCAACAGTCGATGTATATTTGTAGGAAATACAATGTGTAGTCTTTAACTTGAAATGTGGTGGAATACAAAAGTGGACCATTTTGTGATTACTTATAATAACCACGAGAAGAGGAAAAGACAGGTCATGCTAGCTGCATTCTCTTCAGAGCAACATGGGTCTTTAAAACGCCTATGATTTGCAATATCCATAATCACAGATCCGAGCCTATATTCTGGTGTTGAGGAATCCAATAATGGGCTTTCCTTCACCTTTTCAAGGAGACTATTTAAAAGTTTCAAAGGGACAGAGTAAAGTTTGGTGCAAATATGATGTATATGGCACGCCAAATTCACAAAAATGAGCTAAACCTAGTTTCACAATTGATAAACTAGATTTAACTGTAAAATATAACCGTGAACTATAGTTTACAATTCCTTTATTGGCATATTGCTATATTTAACGGTTGTAAACTATAGTTTACGAATGATAATCTAAGTTCATCTGTCTGTAATAAAACGTTAACAATAGATTTTGTTGATAAACATAGATTCACGTCTGTCAATTATAATTTATGATCGTTAACTATAGTTAAGAGTTGTAAATCATAGTTTACAAATCGTGAAACTGTATTTATCAGATAATCTATGTTTTGCAATCGCAAATGATTGTTTTCGGTGTTAAGTATAGTTTACAGTTGTGAAACATAGACTATCGCATTAACTATGGTTTACAGATGTAAAATATAGATTAACGTTGTTTATAGTTTACAGTCCGGGACACAACCGATAAACCTAGTTTATCGATTGTGAAACTATGATTATCTCATTTTTGTGAATTTGGCGTGCCATAGATGTAAACCTTACTTTTGATTTACATAGTAATGAATCAAGAGACGTTCACAATATGTATTGCTCAATAGACCTTTGGGATTGGTTACCATTTCTTATCTCTTATAAATGTAAAAATATATTTATGTATATTTAGTTACCAAATAGGATTGATAATATAATATATGCCTTATTATGACATCTACTTAAACTTTTTATTTGAAAGAAAAATAAAAAAAGAAAGTTTTTTTTTCTAAAAAAAGGGTTCTTACAGATAGCATAAAGTATTGTTCTTATGAGCAAGCACAACAATAAGATACTGTGTGTATATTGGCATCACTTGGGTTGTGTGCACATTTATGAATTAATGCTACATACTATTGCATTCATATATGGTTTCTTCAAGATACATGCATCTAAAATATGAAGCCCATCTTTTTTAAGTTCACATATGTAATACACAATGGACAACCCAAACAAATTAAAGGGTTAATGCATGTATCACAATTATGTTTTAATTTAAAGTTACATTTTAAATTTTAAATGACAAAACATATAAAGTATAGAATTTTGTGAAAAAAAATGTTGATATAAAACTGGTGTAACAGTGTTATTTGAACAACCCAGTTTAAAACAGTAAAGCTGAATGACTTTAAATAATTTAGAACAAACTTTTTACAAAAACAAAAAATCCTCAAAATATAAAATTTGATTTTAACATCTCATTGTTGTAGATTCACTGTCAAAAAAAAGAGAAATTTAAACAACCAAAACGCATGGAGGAATGGGAATAAATCTTAGAATACTATACTTCTTCAAGAATAGAAGGTTCTAAAATATACATTGCATAAGTCTGATTTATTATCCTTACCAACATAAGAATATGAATCAGTCTGCCAACAGTCAGGTAAATTATACATTAAATATAGTTTTATATATATGTTATGTGCACATAAGAATGATTTTGAAACAGTTGTGTGGCCAGCCTTGGCGAGGGGTAAAAACACACAAGTAAATTATACACTTAATGTTTTTATACTGTTTTTATATAGACTAATATATCACTTAACGCAAAATCCATTGTGACGTCACAACTGTGTGATATGAAAACGATATCACATGAGCTATATCAACGGGATCAAGGGTTAAACATGGGATAAAGTAATATATCACTTTCAGTTACATTTAATATAGTTTTATATAGTAATATATCACTTTCAGTCTGCTTATTCTCTATAGCTAAAAAAGCAACACTAATCCAAGTAAGATGTTTATCTCATTATACAGACAAATAAAAATAGAATAGACATTATACCTACTGACATCTTTGTAGATACATGTAATTTACATTGCACATTTTGTTAGCATAAAGAGGACTGTCATAGCATTTAGGTTTTCACAATAATAGACAACATCTACTTAACATTTATTTAATTACAAGCATTGCACTTTGCGTTTCATATGTCACTTCAACAACAAAAATATATTCTGAGATATGTATAAAGGAGGATTTATAATAAATCTTTTAGATAAATTTATAAAACGGATACAATGACAAAGGTTTCCTATTAGCAAACTCAGCTGAGTATTGATTGCAGGCAGGAGGAAAACAAATAAATATCTGAAAAATTTACAGAGGTTTGGAGATACAAACCAGTTCAACCTCCCTCAACTCAATTAATGTGATTATTTTATTTTCATCAAGAATAATGAATCATTACTTCTGCTAACAGTATTTATTGCAGAAATAATTAAACACTCAAATTCTTTTTGTAAAAGACTAATAGATAACATAATTATGAAATTTAACAAAAATCACATGTATGTAGCTTGACAAAAATATAAGTATAGCCCTGACAAAAATACAGTATTCTCTGGACAGAAAATAATAAAATATCTATAAAAAATATTTGCATATAATTGATATTCTACCATGTACTTTAGCAATCAGCACTGACTTTTACAACTGATCCTTAACTCCCGGCCTTTACTTAGAAGCAATACCTAACACCATACCAGTGACCATTAAAAAGGATTTCTTAAGTATTATCAATTCTGTATACTACCATACATGATACAGGTTTAAATGTCCAAGTAAACCTTCAACAGTAATGATCAGTGCTTCTAGCAAAAGTCCACTAGCAAAAAATAAACAGAGAAAAGCAAGCCAGTTTCATTTTCAAATAAAAACAGCACTTCACTTTTCAAGGATATACTGTACCTCTTACTGTAAAATCATCAATTTTCACGAGGCTTTAATTGTCATTGTTTTCGAGGTATCAAGAGACCCACAAATTTCTGACCACCACAAAATGGAAAATTTTATATGCATTAGATCTACTACTAAACATTTTCCAACCAAGAAATCAAATCCTCGAAAACCAGATTTTTTTCTTCAAATCTTGAAAGTTTGACCCCACGAAAATATGTGATTTCACAGTATTTGAATTCATTTGATGATTCTATTATTCTATGAAACTAAAAGCAAATAATAAGGAAATGAGTTCTATTTCCAGTTATCCAACATTTAAAGTGAGTATTTTTTTCTATATTCTATAACAATAAAATTATCAAACAAGGTTAAAGGTAAATTGAATCTCAACCAATTATATAAATAGTAATGCAAACAAAGATTACAACAACAAAAAAAATCTGCATTTCTGGAAAGCACCAGATAAGTTTAAAGTAAAGAAATAAATCTCCAATTGCTCAGTAAATCCTTATACTGAAAATTAAGTATGAAAATCAGCCACCACATGCCCAATATAACCAGTACTACATTGTACATAAGAGAAATAACAATAAAATCATTTTTGGGGGAGGGGGGTTAAAATGACTTTGAAATGTTCATACTTTGGGTGCACTACGGTCATTTGTAACAGTTTTCTTTAGGCCCCCTTTAGAGAAGTTGTTGATGGACCCTAGGAGAGCGGCTCTTCCATCCTGAGGGGGAGGGGGTGCCATCTTTCCTGGAGCAGGTGGTGCTGGTGGACGGGGAGCTCCTGGTGCTGCTGGTGGGGGTGGTGCCACCGGAGCAGGTGGGGGTGCTGGAGCAGCAGGGGCGGGGGGAGCCGCTGGTATACTGGAAACTGAAATATCAAAAAAACTCATTAGACTCTAGTAACTGAAAAAAAATTCCTACTGCATATAGCCACCACCAAACAAAACTTATAATAATTATTAATGAATATATTTGCAATCTACTACCGGTACTTTATGGTTTTGAATAATTTTCAAACTCTAACGTGAATTAATTCACATTTTGATCCCTAATAAAATAATATTTCAAATGGTGGAACATTCATGAAGATATAGCAAAAAATGTCATTATGCTTGCTGCCCAAGATCAAAGCAATGCAAAAATTATAGACATTTTAAACATTAAAAATTGTACTGTGGACTTTACCTCTATTTTATATTTTTTTTTTATTCAAGTATCAGTTTAAATGTCAAAATAATGATGATTACATTTTCTACATTTCAAAATATTATATATATTGAGTAATCTATACATTTTTAAAAATTTGCTGATAAATTTTATTTGATTAGGAAAGAATTGTTAAGAATTCTGCACGTTTTAAACTCTAAGGTAAAAAACTAAAAATATATCAATTTCAAAGTTTTATTAAAATACAGCATGTAAGGCCATTCAAAATTTCTATGTTACATTTCATATTATGCTTTCGATTAGCATATGCATGCAGCACTTACTGACAAAAAAAATACAGTGAAAGAAAGAGTCTCTAAGATATTGAAATAATAAAACAGATGATCAAGGAAATCATAAAAAGGAATCTGGCTGCTAGCAAGTTTATTTTCTTTTAAATGTTGATAAGTCTCGAGAAAAATATAAGTAATTTCATAAAGATGACAATAAAGCACCAAGTAGAGCTACAAATGCATATTATTGCTCTTGTTAGCATTTTGAAAACACTGCAGAAATATATTAAATAATTCATTCTACAGTCATGGTATGAGTTGTACGAGTGTTACTTAAGCCAATCAAATAAGGCCATACAAAAAATCCTTTTGTAGTTCAATTCAAAATTCAATAGAAGAATCATGAATTAAAATAAAATTATCCAATGAGAAAATTTAAGCACAAGATTTACATGTACATACATGTAAGATATACAGTAAAACTCATTTAGTACAAATATTACGAATTCAAAGATATAGCTTACATAACTTTGATCTCGAGCTACTGTATACAGGGTTATTTTTGCCCCATCTTATTTTCGCCCTTTCACACTTGCAAACAATTTTGCTCTGTTTTCAATTTGCCCAATCATTGTTTTGTTTAAGAAATTATTATACTGAATTCTTAGAATTCTCCCCGTTTTAAATTCGCCCAAATGAGAGTAGGGCGAAAGGGGGGAAAATAAAATGGGGGCGAAAATTTCCCTGCATACAGTATTTAAATTTTACAAATTTCTTATACGACTATAACGAATTACGAAATAGCGAATTTATTTCATAGGTCCCAGTGACTTCGTTATAACCGGGTTTTACTGTAAATATCTTGATCAAATTATTTCACATTTACATAACGTTATCTACTAGATAGATGTAGATCTATCCCCTTTACAATGAACATGGAGATGAGATTTACTTTTGTATGGCCTAATACATGAATTAGTTTCTGCCACCATAACTAGCTAACACCACAAACAAGTACACAGTGACAACAGTCATGCAAAATGTACCTATTGTTCTGGGCTTTTGGGTTCTTGTGATAATTTTTCTGGAATTCAAATTACAATACATGTGAATCGTATTGATTCACTCCCAATCAAAGTATGTGTCTTCTACTAACATATCAATTCAGGATATATTTTGAAATAACCTGTAATTCATTTGTAAGAACATAAAGAATTTTTCTTTATTATAAAGGAGGATTCTTGTCAGATGAATTCAGTCATTATGGTACATTCATGTGCAATTTACCCTAACTGCATGAAAATCAAAATGGCCTCAACAATGAAGACTATGTGATAGTAAGTCACCCCAATGTTCAACAATCTGATTCCATCCCCAAAGCAGAAGGTCATTGTATTATGCAAATTACATTAAAAATCAATGAAAACCTCAGAATTAAGTCAAACAAAAACATCTATTCATTTAACCATTAAATTTCAATTGATATAACACAGCAAAAATATTTTACATCAAGCCTCATTTCTTTTCATATGGTAAGAAAAAGGTATGGTCAATCACTATATGAAACTATACCATATGATCATAGACTATAATTTCAATTAGAATATAGATATTACAAAACTAAGAAAATTCATATTAGTTTATAACCATACCTTACTCTTTCAAGCTTAAGTTTAGAATTTATGCTGAACAATTACTAACAATTGCAGAGAGAAGTTAATTAAAGCAAAATTTAATATCTGAACAATACTTGTTTAATAGTCAATCTAATTCTATCAGAACATGAGGAAACGTACCTTTGGCAGTCTGGCTAGATGAAGATTCCGAGGGTTTAGACGTAGATGATGATGTTGACGTCTCCACGGAAACATCGCCATTCTCCTGGACTACTTTCTACAAGGTAAACAGGATTCATTTTATTCTCTGATCATTATACATGTATCTATTAAGTCTATTTTTGCTAATGTAAATATTATTTTCAGAACATTTATAGCAGATGTATACTAGGTATACAAAACTGTATTGCTGTAAGAAAGTAGCTTTTTTAAACATGTATTTATAAGTGATTTTTCTCTGAATTCTAGTTATTGCTGTACATGTATATGATTTTTTATGAAAAAATGTATGAAAGGTTTATGTCATAGCTGACATTCTCACATATATGTTATAAGCAAAAATAAAGCTCTTACAAAAACAAGAGGCCCAAGGGCCACAGCGCTCACCTGAGCACATCAGGCTTGAATTAACCCCTCCCCCCCAAAGCATTTATCATTTGAACAAAATAGAATCTACACTACCTGAGGATGATTCTATATAAATAACACTAATTGTAAATTTGAAGTATTTGAAAAGAAGATTTTAAAAGGTTTCCCTCAATATCCCTATGTAAAACTTGGGTGGGCCATTTTGGCCCCACCCTAGCCCCAGGGGTCATGATTTGAACAAAAATCTAAAAGGATGATTCAACATAAATTTCATCTTTCCTGGCCCAGTGGTTCTTGAGAAGACTTTTAAAGATTTTTCCTATATATTCCTATGTAAAACTTGGGTCGGCCATTTTGGCCCCACCCTTGCCCCTGGGGTATTTGAACAAACTTGAATCAACACCACCTGAGGATGATTCCACATGAGTTTCATCTTTCCTGGCCCAGTGGTTCTTGAGAAGAAGATTTTTAAAGATTTTTCCTATATATTCCAATGTAAAACTTGGGTGGCCCTATTTGGCCCCACCCTTGCCCCAGGGGTCATGATTTGAACAAACTTGAATCTACACTACCTGAGAATGATTCCACATGAGTTTCATCTTTCCTGGCCCAGTGGTTCTTGAGAAGAAGATTTTTAAAGATTTTTCCTATATATTCCTACGTAAAACTTGGGTCGGCCATTTTAAGGGGTTATGATTTTGAATCTACACTACCTGAGGATGATTTCAAATGAGTTTCACCTTTCCTGGCCCAGTGGTTCTTGAGAAGAAGATTTTTTAAAAATGCCATTAATTTTTCTCTAATTCATAATTATCTCCCCTTGGAAAAGGGCGTGGCCCTTCATTTGAACAAACTTGATTCCCCTTCACCCAAGGATACTTTGTGCCAAGTTTGGTTAAAATTGGTTCTTGAGAAGAAGATGAAAATGTGAAAAGTTAACGACGACGACAACGACGACGACAACGACTACGACAACGACAGACAACGGACAAATTTTGATCAGAAAAGCTCACTTGAGCCTTCGGCTCAGGTGAGCTAAAAATGATTTACAGTATTTAAGACCATTCTATTTAATGTAAATAAATTTTCTTATAACTCATGAATATATATCATGTATCACTTTAAAAATGTATTTTGAATTCCAAGATCTACATAATTAATGATTGCTCTGATGGATGCAATGTTTAATAGTGAATTCTAACAAACCTAAAGATCGAAGAAAAAATTTTCAGAAAAAATAATTGTAAAAATCTCCTGTTTTAATAATTAGAGTTGAATTTTATTATTTAGAATGAAATATCTCAGATTTGTAGTCCTTATCACTTCTTCTGAATGTTTTTTTTTTCATCTCGCTATTTCAAGACCTTGTTTATTAGTTTAAAGTTGGTAAAAAGGGGGATATTCCTAAAAAGGTGATATGAATGTTCAAAATTCCCCAAAAGGTACTTTCCCTAATGTAAGCCAATCAAACCTTTTTAGACTTCCGTCTTTTCTTCTTCTCATCCTCTGACATATGGAACTGCTTTGCCTTGGATAATCTCTTTAACTGGTTTATCTGATAAAACAAATTCAATAACCAGGTGATTTGAAAACAATGAAACACAGCAAAATAACTACATGCACTTTGTTCTCTACAAACTTAAAAAAAATACTTAAATTATATAGAGAAAATTCTGCATCAAATCATTTTAATGTAATGTTTGCAGTTTAAAACTTTTGCCAGTTTTAATCCTTTTTTAATGTTTGATTAATAATCAAAGAAGAAATGTTTACAATTTTTTGTTCCTCCTTCAGCCTTCTCTCCATTTGATCTTTTGCATTCTTTATGGCCTCTTTTAACTTGCTGGGGATTTTCAGAACTGGTTTATCTGTGGGAGGTAGAGTCACCCCAGCAAAGAACCTATGATAAGATCAGAGAGTTCAGTTTATTTCAATGTCACATGCTGTATTTAATTCATACACTTGTAGTACAAGTAGCACAAATGCTCAGACTGCCTAAGATAATAGATACTTGCCTTTTAAATTTATTTCTTCAAATAAAGATACAAAGGTGTATAGCATAAGAAGCTGGTTAACTTACGGATGAGAGAGAAGGTCGTCAACAGTTGGCAGGCCACCCTTACAGGCCTCTGTGGACAGAATGGACTCCAAGACAGATCCTAACACATAAAGTCAAATTACAAGGTAAGAATGAAAATGAAAGTAACTTAAAATAAATAAAAAGCCTATTAACAATTTGTTGATAAAACATAAGAAGGCAAATTAAATCGTGTCAGATAAATACTGTAGATTCCTTATTTTTTGCAAGTACCCCTGGTACATATTATCGAAAATGGGTTCTTCAATGTCATATTCCAAGAATGATAATTTGCAAATAAACTATTGATCAAGGGATTTTACATAGATTTCAGCACCATAAAAATAAATGCAAGTAATTTTATTTCATGTGTGGTCTTCTCGAGAAATAACGTGATAATAAATTCCACGCGAATATTCAGGAATCCACAGCATTGTTCCTAAGTATTCAAGAACTCACTGATCTCTGGTGGAGAAGATGGAGGGAATGAATCACAGGTGGCCGCCAAGAGCTGTTTTCCAAAGGTCAACTCATACAACAGCTGCCCAAAACAGTACATGTCAATCAACTCACAGGTCTGAAATAAAACATGTAAACTCATAAAACAGCTGCCCAAAACAGTACACGTCAATCAACTCACATGTCTGAAATAAAACATGTCAACTCATACAACAGCTGCCCAAAACAGTACACGTCAATCAAATCACAGGTCTGAAATAAAACATGTCAACTCGTACAACAGCTGCCCAAAACAGTACACGTCAATCAAATCACAGGTCTGAAATAAAACATGTCAACTCGTACAACAGCTGCCCAAAACAGTAAACGGCAATCAAATCACAGGTCTTAAATAAAACATGTCAACTTATACAACAGCTGACCAAAACAGTAGACGTCAATCAACTCACAGGTCTGAAATAAAACATGTCAACTCATACAACAGCTGACCAAAACAGTAGACGTCAATCAACTCACAGGTCTGAAATAAAACATGTCAACTCATACAACAGCTGACCAAAACAGTAGACGTCAATCAACTCACAGGCCTGAAATAAAACATGTCAACTCATACAACAGCTGACCAAAACAGTAGACGTCAATCAACTCACAGGTCTGAAATAAAACATGTCAACTTATACAACAGCTGACCAAAATAGTACACGTCACTCAACTCACAGGTCTGAAATAAAACATGTCAACTTATACAACAGCTGACCAAAACAGTAGACGTCAATCAACTCACAGGTCTGAAATAAAGCAGGTCAATTGTTCAACAGTTTTAAATAGTAGTGCACTTGTTTAAAGCCACAGGTCTTAAATAAAAGCATAAGCACTGGGTATTTAATAACTGATCAATTCATTTTAGTATTTAGAAAGTTAAAGTATTTGTGCTAACTTGATTTGACTCTATGAATACAAGTTAAAGTCACATTTTGATGGATACTTACATTGATTTTCTTGTATTGTGTGAAGAATGGTCTGTAATAAGAAGGTAGCCCTAATAACCAGTTCTCTATGTCTAACAAGCAACATCTCCCACCCTCTAGCAAGACATTGCCTGCATGCAGGTGACCTGAAAGTATAACCTGGGTTTCAAATACTACAGGTGTATTCGTTAATGGATCAACTTTGAGTTCAAAAATTTCATTCAAGTAATGCTAAAACATAGGTTGTCGTACTTCGTACAATGTCATTGGCCAATTTATAGCAAGTTGTTATGTGTACATAATAATGTTTTTTCTGCTTTTCATGGTTTTGATGTTGGTTTTTCATGTTTTTATGTATGAAAACACATCCTGGATTTAAAAAAAAATGTTTTTAAAGCTTACCATATGGTAATCCTTTTTCATGTAAAAACTTCAAGGCATCAAGAATCTGTTTTCCTACAATCTTCACTGCATTTAAGTCTAATGTTGAGTATGCTTTGGGATTTGTGTACTTTTTTAAGAAGTGGTTCTTTGGTTTGCATTTACAGATAGAGTCTCTCAAGGTGCCCTTCTCCTGAAAGGCTCTTATAGTTAACCCCCCGCTCTCTGTCGTAGTAGCAAAAATCACCGGGCATATCTGAGGGTGCTGAAACAGGAGATTATACTGAACTGATTAAAAAACCTGTAAAATAAGGCAGGGTCTTCTTTGATTACAAATGTACAAATGGAGAATGGCTCGAGGCTACTGAATATGTTTAGAAACATGATCTTAGATAAATGCTATCAAACAGTGGCCATTGATGGAAAAGAATGAGAAGCCATGGGAGAAATGAAGAGTCAGGCCATCAATAGAAAAGAACAGGTGAGCTGGAAATAGTAAGTTGGCAAGATCTATAAAGATAACACAAAATAGGATGAATGCCTTTGGTTTAATGTGGTATTTGGGGGGGGGGGGGCAATAATAATATACAGAAAGTAAGAAAGTGTATTGGACACAGGTATTGTTGCTCTCAGACACTGAGTAACTTTTTATTTAGCCTAAACACATTTCAAATCTAATGAAAATATTGCAAGCAAAAGAATGCATCTATGTAATGTTTAATGATCCACAAATATACAGCATTTATGCTATGAGAAATAAGAACATAATTACCTGAATGGTGGGTAATAATTTCATTATGGCACTTAATTCTTTTTCAGGAATATATTTATCTGGACCAAAACCACTCTGAAATTTACACAGATTCATATAGAGGCAACAACTAATAAATTAAAGTTCTGCTAATATTAATAAAATACTTTTGTCAATTTAATATCATAATACAAGTAAAAAATTAACAAAATCGATGTTTTTAATTGATTTTAATTTAATTTTTAATTGTACATGTTTTAAAAGATAGACAGTTTAAAATTCTGAGACATCTGTATATGCGCATGGCATTCACTTTTTTCTGTCTGAATGCAAGCCAAGGACTAAATTATTCTTATATATAGGCAATGCATGCTTTATGTTAATTTACAAATTCACAATTTTAATCAATACAAACCCAGGACAGAACTTGACGAACTTTGGGCTGATCTAAAGGCTTGACTAAAATATAACTCTTCCTTATTCTCCAGCCTAAGATTGTAGAAAAAGTATAATTGATGGATGTATATAAACGTTGTATCAGATGCTTAGTCTAAATGTGCACGGATTACAGTTGAAATATTTTGAATGATTCACAAAAATCTAAAGAAACAAATCAGAGAGAGAGGGAGAGGGAGGGGGGAGAGAGAGAGAGACGGAGAGAGAGTAAGAGAGAGAGAGAGAGTAAGAGAAAGAAAGAGTGAGAGAGAGAGAGAAAGAAAGAGAGAGAGAGAGAGATGGAGTGTGTTCCCTCCTGACCTATATCTGGCAGTGGCTCCACTACATCCCATTTTTTCTCTGATCTAAACACCATGGATACATGTTGTAATGCCAACTCTGTTAACATTGATAGTATAATAAAAAATAAGGACAGCAGCTACATGTGTATTTAAATACTGTACATAAAATATTAGGTAATGTACATGATGTGGCTAATGTACATCATTTGTCAATAAAGCAGTGTAATAAAATCAACATTATTTTTTTACCCAAGATGTAATTAAAGTACCGTATATACTCGCCTATAAGTCAGTCTTTTGGGAGTTAAATATTCGTCTAAACTCTAGGTCCGACTTATAGGCGAACCATAAAGAGATTGGTATTTTTCTGGAGGCTCAAAGGTAGTATCTTATTTGCATTTCCGACGATTATCAAAGAAAATGTTTGGATATATAAGATAATTTATGTATCCTTAGATTATATATATAAAGTGCTAGTATTTACATATTTTAATAATATTATTTGTGTTTTAAGTGACATTGCCATTATGTTTAATAATTTAAGATTTAATATAAGTGTCATTTCGAAAAATATTGAAACCAGGTTAAAACATCAATGGATTTACTTGAAATTGTCACCAGATTTTGGCAAAAAAATTGTACCGACTTATAAGCGGGTCAATAGCAAAAACCACCAAAATAACGTCAAAAAATACAACCGACTTATAGGCGAGTATATACGGTACACATGATACTGCGAGATAAAATTATGTAAATGATCTTGATAAAGTACAAAATGTATGTACCTAAGAGAGTTTCTGATAAAATTATTATACACTCTTTGATTGCATGAAACTATAAGAGTACTGTATCAGTTAGAAACTTAGAATACATGTATTGTACATGTACTTTTCTTTTAATCTTAACACTGAAACCAATATACAATTTAGGAATCAAAGGAGGACTTTCTACATGTTGTCCAGTGATTCCCTGTAACCATTTTAATGCTTTCATCTTTTAATTCCCTCTGTTTTTTGTATTTTCTTATCAACTTTAACATCAATGAATATTGAAAATGTCCTGGTGAATTTCTTTTTGTCACTCAGTACATGTCTTACAATGCACATAAAACATTAACTAACCTCAAAAAACCTAATTTTCAGTATAGGTTACCTGGAATATTAACAGCATAATTTGTAGAATCCAGGAATTTTTTGAAGTATAAAGTGTTTGATAATACATGATGATCAGCAACAGCAACAAGGTAGTCCTGAAAGATAAAAGTTCCTATTAATCAATCGCATGCTGAGGGAGTCTCATTCTGATTTATCATTTTTATTATGATGTCAATTAACTGGTACTGTGCAGGGGCGTAGCCAGGGTACATTTGATGTGGACGCCTGGATAGGCTGGGGGTCTGATGAATTTTCGACGATTTCGATGTGCATGCTTGACCCTTCTGACACTAGTAGTATTTTTCTTACACTTTTTCAGTTTGTTACGCAGCCACATTTAAGGTCTGTTTTTTCCTTGTACAAAATGCGGACAGTCACTTAAACATGAGAAAAGATCTGTCCAAAAGCGAACCCACTAAAACAATTTTAGACCTTTGAAACTCGACAAAATACTTATGGTTAACATACGGTAGTTGGTTCGAGTGGTAGACTGGTGTAGGTCTACAGACCACGTAATCGACTGATAGTAAGGCTTACATTAATATTAAAAATACATCTCTAAAGATTGAAAATAACAAAGACATAAGAATTCTTTTCAACACATTTTCTTGCACATTACCTATGAACATTGTATACATTTTAAACTGAATGTTCATAAATATTCACAAATCTGGTATATCTTAAACTTTTTTTCAACAATTATAAAAAACATGTAAAATATACTACTGGTTTTAAGGTAGTGTTAAGGCCTTATTATTATTTTTTAAGGTTAAACAAAATTTGACAATTTTTTTCGATTTTTGATGTTCATACATAAAGCTGAATTATGATTCTTGAAGTCTCGCATGAATCCGATATTAGGTTAAAATAGGGGGGATATCATTACAGAAGTTAAGCATTGTGGTTGGAAGTTAATTACCATTAATAGAAATTGAAATTTTTGGCATTAAATAAAATTATCGTTTGTTTTAAGTGAACCGACTGGGGTTTTATAGTGTGACATCTACAACAGAGAAACTTTAAGAATGTAATTACACTTAGAAAAAATATCAGCAATATTCGATAGTAAACCAAAATCCGGGAAAATCTTTTGATTTCAGTGAGGTGTATAATACTTTTCCCCCTAAAAGTGATTCTGTTGTTTTTCATTTATTTTTTATTTACTAATATTTTGCAAAAATGATAAGTACTCTTTACAGTATTACGCCTGTCTCCCTCTCCTCTCCTATCTTTTTTTTTTTATTTGGAAAATGATGTGGACGTTTTTGCGTACAAACTGCTATGCAATAAAAAAAAAGCATTAATTTAGTTATTTACAAGTCAGTTCTAAAACTGAAAAAAGAAAATTTAAAAAGGTTTCTTTAATTCCCCTTTTTTAGCAGTCTGTTACTGTGTTACATTAACATTTATACATCAAGTCATTGAACCAAACTTAAGCAAACTTTTCATCATCATTTTGATCAATGATTTGCTGATCATAAGAGCAGAGACTGAAAGAAATGCATTCCTACCTGTAATCCTTGTTGTCTTTCTGCAATAAATTCTCTGTCAAAATTACCAAACACTTTTTTGGGAGGAAGTTGCAGCTCTATATTGGAGATCCTTAATTCACCGTCCAAGGCTACAAAGTCATTGTAACGTTTGTCTACTGTCCAGCTGTGTTCTGGTATAGGACCTCTCTGTACTTTGACACAGTATTTCTGAGGATGAGATATTAAATACACAGTAAATTATTCTATGAAGCATATAAAAGGCAAGAAACAAAAAATATTGATCAGCAACTCAAATGCACAAGGGTATTGCTTACATCCATAACATCTATACATTTCAATTTTCCATGTCTGAGATAAAACTACACATGAAAAAAAACAACATTTTTTTAAAATATAAAACTGTTGGTATATTGATGGGCCTGGTTTAAAAAAGAAACATGTGCAGGGAAGGAGTGAGAGACTGAGAATGCATGTCAAATTTCTTGCAGAAGAATATTCTCCAGACTCAAAATAAATATATGAAACTAACAGTTATTCCTTAAAGCCGCTTAGTCCGATTCTAATTGCGAAAAAATATATTCTTTTTTTTTTTTTGAAAAATATAATTGTCCATAAATTGTTTCAACTTTTGTCAAATTATATCCCCAAAGTCTTTTTCTTTTAAAAGATATCAAAATTCAAAAGTTAAAAAAATAATTTTAAATTTTTGAAGGTTTGAATTATCTTCATAATTTAATAAGATATAACCGATAAATTTATTTTTTTTTTCAAAGGTGACTTCACAACAGATCTTAAGTTCCCTTCAGGAACTTCTGTTTGTCAATAGGATTTTTGATCTATGTTTTCCTTGTAAGGATTGTTGTAATAAACTATTAAATCAATCTTATGATTCATTTTTATATATTTTCTATGTAATGACGTACTTTTATTGTGTAAGATAATATGTGCCTGTTTCGGATTAAGCGGCTTTAAGATAAATTAAATACAGTATTTGAAAAAAATCGCAGAAATACACTACAGTTAAATGTAAATATACATTCTCAAAATTCAAATATTTCAACCGTATGTGAATTTTTCACAAATTCACAACCTTTAACACAGGGCTCCCACTGGACCGAAAATATTTTTCGCCACTTTTCGCGACACAATCTTTAAGGAAAGGCATACGTACATCTGATTTCTCGACAATGCAATGCACTTTTTTTTTATTCAATTTTTTTATTATGTTTATCTGACACAGACATTGTTTCAAAATTGTAATGTTTAAAGCTTATGGTAGTATCCATTTAAAAAAAGAAAAAAAATAATAATGTTGGAATTACACAATTAATTTGATATTGTATTGATATCAGCCAACTTTTGACAGAAAATGTCCTCTTGTTTACATTTTTTTTTTCACCTGGGAAGGGGGGGGGCTACAGACCTAGTAAAATATGACATTTTTTAAAAATAGAAATTTTCATCATTTCATTAATTAAATTGTGAAGAGAAGTAAATTAAAAAGAAATGAAAATTAGGTTTGAAACTTGACTTTATTTTAACAACTTGGAGACTCCAGGGTTTAATATGCAAGCTCATGTTATTGTAAATAATTCAGTGTAATTTACTAACTAAAGTTAATTCTGTTTCCAAACCAATTTCTGTTTAATTCTTTGTCAGTTAACGGTATAATAATGTACACATTTTTCAATTTTCAGTAGGTAAAATTTGAAGCCATTCTTTACAATTTTCATCATGTTTCCCTACTTTCGGTTTTAAAAAAAAAGATCTACATCATGTACCGAGAAATCGAACAAATCTAGTAACAATGTATAAAATACACAATAATTTAGTACCTACTTATATTCAAAATATAGTACCTGATATTAGAGGCAACATTTCACAATACTCTACTAGAAATTCCTCCAATTATTCCTTGCCAAAATGCAGATTAGAATTATTCAATAAATCCTTTATTCCAGATACTGTTAGAAAGTGGAATGCAATTAAAATTAACATAAGGGAGGCAACTTCTATGAAAAGTTTTAAAAAATGCTTGTCAAGCAATATTGTAAAACCTACAAAGTATTTTTCTTTTGGTAAGAGATTTTGGAATATTATTCACACAAGGTTAAGACATAATTGTATTTTAAATTCTGACCTATTTCGCTGTAATTTAATTGACAGTCCGAATTGCTCATGTGGACAAATAGAGGATTCCTATCATTTGTTTTTTGTTTGTAGAAAATATGCAACAGCAAGATATTCTCTAATGAATAAGTTATTATCATTCAACAATTTGTACATTATAGATGTCCATTTGATGTTATGGGGTGTTGATTCATTCTTTGATCAACAAAATGTAGAAATTTTTAAAGTTATTCATACCTTTTTAAAAGAGTGTGGTCGATTCTCTGAAAAATCTTAATTTTTTGTATATATAGTATTGTGTTCTGGTATCAAGAGTTTACTGTCTTTGACACTACTAATTGTTACCGAAAATAATTGTTCTTTATTTTGGCAATAGTATAAAAAATTTTGTATGAGGAGAAGACTATCTAAGTTGTCAGAACTTGTGTCTTATCCTTTTGGCTTTAATTGTCAATAAAATATGTTCAATTCAATTCACATCATGTACATAGATCCAGATTTTGTTGATAAAAATCTTTTATTTATTAACTTCATCTCCCATTAACACTTTATCCCCACTTGTTTAATCCAAATTATATCATTTCAAGCAATTTTGTATCCCTTTATTGCCCCAGGCTAGTTACCTAGTCAGCATTGTTCGTTCAAGCGAGACGTGATTTCCTACTTGTAGGTTTCAGTTTTCACACCCTGCTGCATTAATTAAGTAAACAAGTTCAAGTTCTTTATTGACTTTGAGCATTATAGCTCATCAGTACAAACAAATACAAACATGACTGCACAGGTTTACAGGAGAATATGATTATTATGTACATATGAAACAATTGTATATATATGACATAAATGATTAATTTAACATGTCTTTTCTAGTTTTTAGGCTAAAGTAGATAAATTTTCCTAAATTGCATAGTTCTTTAACATTTTCAACATTAAAAAGTTGCAACAATTTAAACATTGAAGGTTTTTTTTCCAATAATAAGACTTTAAGTATTTTTTACCATGTATTTCATATAAAGCTGGACAGATTGAAATAAAATGAAATTCATCCTCAACATAATTTGAACACAACAAACAATATCTACAGTGTCTTTCTGTATTACTATATCGACCTGTTTCAATTGCCAATTGGTGTGATGACAGTCTCAATTTAGAAATACATTTTTGATATTTTATTGGTATGGGTTTCCGTAAGTAAAATTGTAGATTATGATTTGCAATTAAATATCTGTAAAAAGAACACTTACTTAGAGCTATCAATTTTAGAAAAAATATTCTGTCTTGCCTGGTCAAAAATTCTTTGCTTTACGATAGGAAGGTCCACACATTCAACTTTTTGTTTTTCCCATAATTCAAACATACCCAAATTGCATAAAATGCTTTTAACATTTGACAACCAGTTTTTTGCATTATGCATTTCTACACACTCATGTAAAACACTGTAACAATGTTGGATGACACAATTTTTTTGATCAAGAATTTTCTTCCAAAACTTAATTATATTATACATTCTGTGGTAAAGCAGAGGATATCGTCCTAATTCAGAATATACAGTTACATTACATGTTGTCCTTTTAACACCTAAAATATGTTTGCAAAAATCAAGATGTAGTTTTTCAATATTAGGTGATTTAAGTGAACCCCAAATTTCTGACGCATAATTTAAGATACTGCCCACAAAGCAATCAAACAATGACAATAATGTCTCATGATTAAAATACATGTTTCTAATATTCTTTTTAAGAACAAATAAAGCTTTTCTACCTTGTTCAGCTAGATGTTTCTCAGCTCGAGAAAACTTATTATTATAATTAAAAATAATGCCCAAGTATGTAAAATGATCAACAATTTCAAGTTTTTCACCATTAATATACCACTTTTCAAGTTCTTTCACTATCCCCCCTTTTCTAAAAACAACAATCTTTGATTTGTCCACATTAATTTGTAATTTCCATGTTTCACAATAGCTTGATAGTTGATCTAACAGTGATTGCAGACCAGAAACTGTTTCAGAAAAGAGCACCATATCGTCTGCATACATAAGGAGAAAAAGGTTCAGTGATGAAATTTCATATGGTACACATCCATTATTTAAAAAGTGCATTTCAAAGTCATTTACATACATTGTTGAATAAAATGGGTGAAAGTACATCGCCTTGCATTAAACCGAGATCGCTACTAAATATGTCACTCAATAAACCTTCAGAAGTTACACATGCTTTAACATTTTTATACAATCCTTTTAAGACACGTAAAAGCTTGCCTTGAATACCAATTTTGGACAGTTTACAGTAAACAAAGGGACTTATCTGTGTACACTGCATAAACAAAGGAGCTAAACGGGACTACACAAATTTTGTACATGGTACATCTAAAAAAATAATTTTCGCCACTGATGAATTTCTTTTCGCCACTTTTGAAAAAAATTCGCAATTGGCGACAATGGCGAATCACAGCTCGAGCCCTGCTTTAACAGCTGCTTAGAGAAGAGCATGTCAGGATCATGATGATGCTAATGAGACAATTTTTCATTTTTTTTTAAATATCATGATAATAAAAAAAAATTCACTGGATATCTACAATTTTATTTAAAACATCAGAAAATAAGATACTAACAATAAAGCTAAAATACTGATATACTCAGTTTAATATCTCTAGTCTGAAATTAGTTGTGGATAATCATCACATGCATGCATATGGATAAAAATGTACTTTCACTTTCACACACACAAGCCATACCATGTGATCCTCACGTTTTTCCGCTGATTCCACCCAACATTTTAACGGTATAGTGTCATCAAGTGTTACTTTTGTCTCTTTTTTCTTCTCAAAAACTGTAGCCATGATCTAGGCTTCTGACATTTACTGCTGACGTTGTTTACATTTTATCCTTCTTTGAGTGGGGGCGTGATGATTGGAGAGAATAAAAGTCGAACAACTAATGTTTTAAAATCCGGAATTGTCTCATTTTGTTGCTCCTTGGCTCCTTCTATCGAATCCACAAGTGATTTAGATTTTTGAAAGAAAACATTTTGAGCAGGATTACATTTTTTAAACTTCAACCATTTTCCATTATATTATTTTTTTTAAATAAAAATTAATTTTAATCTTTGTCATCGAAACGTTTTAAAGTATGGAACTAGAAAACACAGTTGCAAAGAAGAATATCGATTTAGGTCAACTTAGTCATGAAAGAAGTAAACAAGTGAACAACTTCAAATTTTTACTAATAGACCTAGAAGATGTGGCTTATTTATTGAACCTTATGTTGTGAAATATGGAAATTCGCTGATAAAGATATTTGAAATATGAGGTGAGTCAGAAGCTTGTTTTGAAGTGAGTGTTTACAATATTTGAGGCACTGGTCAATTGAGTTGGTGGAACCCCTGTTTTCTCTGCTTTAGAGCCAATCTCAGATTATTTATGAATGCTTAAAACAGCAATCGATCAATGTATTTGTTTGTGTTTTATTAATACAGATACTTGCTTATTTATAGAATTTTATATACAGCTGATATTGCACTTTTAGTGACTTTACCTAAAAAATGCAATTATGTGAAAATTACGAAATTGAAATACAATGAATAAACAACCTCTTTATATTGTGGAAGAAATCTTGGCTTAGGGTTGGTGGAGTTTTTAAGACAGCAGTCCAAATATATATTATACAGTTTAGATTGTTAAATTTCAGTCGAGATTAGGTGTATATTTATTATAGTACCTCTTCGGTATGATTCCAATGTAGAATGATCTCATCAGACATCAATTTTGTTCACATGAACAAGGTCACAAACTCTGCATCCACTGTCACCTGTCAGCATTGTTTTTGTGAAATGTGTGCATGGTTACATTCTTTGACACTGCCTAAATCTGCCCAAATTCCTGTTTTCTGGAACAATTAAATCATACTGCTTTTTTGCAATTAACATTGTTTACTTTCTGCATCTTAATATTAACAACTGTACCATTGTCTTCAGTTTGCTAGATAAAAAAAAAACGCTTTTGCCTTATTATGTACAATGTAATTGTGGCTTTGAATACTAGCCTTTATATCATGTTTGTTACAGAAAACATTGCCATTAAGTAAAAGATTGACTTCACTAGAGGTGTTACTGTATCCATCATACATTTTACATTGGTTAGCACGACTGCACTGTAGCAGTTACATTAGGGACTCAGGGAGAAATTAATTTATTAAAGGAAATTTCATTATAAAAGGATTAAAAATCACAGATGAGTTTAGTGCTAAACAGTTGCAGTTATGAATTTATACAATACTGCACTATTTTATGAATAAACAGTTATGTAACATATTACACATGTTAAATAATATTGCTAATTAAAAGTGCATGTTTTGTATACATCACACTTGAATTACCTGTAATTCAAATGTGTGCAAAACAGGAACAAACCGTAAAATCATTAGTGAGGGGGGGGGGGGGGGGGTGGTGGTAAAGGGTGAGAAGGGGAATAGAAATGGGGAAGGGAGAATAAAGGGGAAAAAAGAGGGGGAAGGGGGTAGAGAGGTAATAAATTTCAGAACAGGTAGGAAAGCTACTGTAATTTAAAAAAAGGGAGAGATTACGAAATAGGAAAATTTGGAACATGAGGATTTGATTTATTCCTCCTGAACATGTACTCTTGGTTACAACAAATTATCGAAACCTTTAAAGTTGGACAGAGAATGATACAGTAAGATCATTAAATTTATTCACTAGCTTCGGATTCAATGGGCTGATTGCACAGATTCATTTATATATGCTTATAGTTCTGCCAGAACGATATTGATTTTACAGAATCATCATTGTACTTATGGTACACATGCACACAATATTTATACATGTGTCCAATGTGAAACTGCCAAACTTTTAAGCTTTTATCCTTATATATAAAAAAAAGTGACAAAAATCTACTGAAAAATAAATATATTTAACATTTACAGGTACAGTGGAGCCTCATTTATCCGGACGCTTTGGTTCCTAGTCAATTTGTCTTGATATGTGAAGTGTTCGGATATCTGCATTACCAATTATAAAACAAGACAAAATAACTTTTAAAAAATCCGTTCCGATGAAAAGTCATCCGGATACTGAGGCATCTGGATATCTGACGTCCGGATATATCTGAAGGTCCACTGTACTCACAAATAACTTACTATATAATCAACAATAGAAATTTATATTCAATATTTCTAAGCTTCCATTTCCTTACCTGAAAATTTTCAGAAAAAGATACGTGACTATTTTTTCAATTGAGTGAGACAATAATAACTATATTAAGAGGATCATGAGGATTGAATGTTAAATTATAATGCTAAAAGTACTATACTGCTTATAACTAATGTACTCTTATCAGGTATGCTTTAAAGAAGAACAGGCTTATAACAAAATGCTAGGGATACCTGGGACTGACTATTTTGCTTTGTTATATAAGCGTTATTCACTATAACCTTTAAGTTCACAATTATATACATGTATTTTAAGGCCAGTGGGAATGAAAATCTCTTTGCTGTAAGCGTGGCCGTCAACTTTATAATCATGTTAGCTATAAGCATGTTTTAATGTATACCTTCAATTAGATATTACTTGTGACTGACACTGAAATTAATTTATGACAATATGCAATATGTCACCATGGATCTGTTGAGTATATGTTATTTCATATTGGTTGGAATTGTGGTAGAACCATATATATAAGAGTAACAATATATTTTACCCAATAGTACATTTTATAATGTAGTTACAGTAGTCGCTGCTTGACTACAGAAAAAAATGTCGCTGCAGGTAGCACTTCAACAACAATCGACAGAGAATTTGAAAATTCAATATTTGCTGATATTTTTTCCCAAAAAATTTTTTCAAACAAACTGGGTTCTCCTTTAATTTTATCTTAGGAATTTTCCTCTATTTTTCTTGCAAAAGGAAGATAAATTTTCCTACTAAGTGTAAACTGAAGTTTGTCTTTCAGATTTTTATTTAAATATAATTTTAATTTACAAGGATATCTATGGCTAACTCTATATAATTTGACCTTTAGTTTATAAAGATCAATTGCAAACTAAATGTATTGACTACACAATTGATTGTATGCTACTGATTCAATTTGATAATAGATTGTAAAATCTTGCCCGAAAATAGTGACAAGTATCATGAGTATAAAAATCTCAAATCGGAAGACCGAAGCTTGTAACATTTTTCACTGACTAAAGCCCAACTTTCACAAGCTGTTTAACATGTGTTTAATGTGTGATGTTTGTAAAATGTGTTTAACATTTCTATGTGAGTATGTGATACATGATTCCATGTAGAATATAATGTGTGAATTAGATAATACCGGTATGCATTCAGTGACTTCTTTTCGATTAACATGTTTAAATTATTTTGTATTCTCATTTCTGTGATTGAATGAGTCAATTGGCTTTGTTTTATTGAAAAATTGATATGTTACAGTGAACTTCATTACTCTTATTACGTATAATTCTTTGAGCATTTATAAGATTTAAGTAACAAATCATAAATTAAAAAAAATCCTTGAAGTAATCCATTAGAAGCATTTTACAAAATGAGTTACAGTAAAAACAAAGTTTAAATTTTCGGAGTTAAAGGAAGTGCCTACGAGTTCTTTTTCTTCCAGATTTATAATGGACGTACTGCTCTCATTTCTTATCGTGTATTTGATCAGTGACCACGTGGAAGCCAGCCTCAAACAGAAAGTTTGTAAGTTGGTTTCTTAACCTCAAGATTTTTTTGAATACTTTACACAATTATTTTTGCCCCATGTTATTTTTCCCCTTTCACATTTGCAAAAAAATTTGCCCCGTTTTAAATTTGCCCAGTTATAGCTTTGTTTAAAGAAATTATACTGCAGTATTCTGTGAATTCGCATCATTTTAAATTCACCTAAATGAAGATAGGGCAAAAGGGGCAAAAATAAAACCTGGGGCAAAAATTTCCCTGTTTACAGTATTTCTGATTTTTAAAGATTTTTTTTTTTTTGAAATCTTTTCAAAATCATTCTAGGAAAATTTTGTATCATTTAAGGTCTTTCTACCCTCACAATTCAGGTTCAAAGTATAAAAACTGCATTTATTTTCATTTAATATTGTTTAAATGTACCATCTATTGTAAAAAATGTATGGTCGCCATAAAATCGTACGTTTTTTGTAAATAATATTATAAAAATTATGTAAAAATTGGTTCAAATGCATAAATCTGATGCTGAAAATTCTTATTACTTGCTTACTAATCAGATACTTTTGAATTGTGAACATCAGGGAAACTATTTTACATTAGAAGTGCAAATTAGAAAATGCCTGAATGAAGATACCTGAGAGGGAGTTATTGCCCTTGTCAACATTTTTTGAAGATTGAATAATTGATTAAATGAAGAAAATGTGCATTTTTCAATTTCTTTAATTTAATAATATTTATTATTTCACCTATCGAGAAGCATTCTTCCAAAAGATATTGTTCTATTAGGTATGAATTTAAATAAATAACAGTTTTTTGCAAAAACCAATGACATCATAAAAAGGATGGAAATACCTTAATCATGTTTGTATTAAAGGATTATGCTGAAATCAGTGATTTAAAGATGGCAATTTTTAACAGAGAAAAAAAAAAGATTATCAACATGTGATTAAAACAACTGTTATTAAAATGTACTGAATTTGAAATATCCACTTGGAATGGAACTTAATGCATATTAAACAATTGAAACATTTCTATCTGAAGCATAATTATAATCAGTTATCTAAGCATTTCTATGTGAAACCTTTTTAATGAATGTATCACTAAGCAAAGCTTTATAGTGCCCAATAATCTGCTATCAGTAAAGTTGTACTTTGAGATAATATGATAATGCTTCTCCTGCTTTATGGCACACATACAGACATACAGATAACCTTGCCTTACAGATGCCTTTGACCAGACCAAGTACTGCCCTGAGAATGGCGCTCACACCCAGACTCTGATGCTAAATGAGGAGGTCATCCTGCTAGCCAAGTCAAAATCAGACTCCTTCTTTGTCGACAAATTTAAAAGCATCTTTAATAAAAGGGTGACAGACTGTGAGATGAAGTTCATGACCTCCTCATTGGATTCAAACAGTAAACAGGCCCTGCAGATTGAGTTTGAGAGTTTTAACATCGCCAAGGATGCGTGTGATGTCTCCCTCAAACTTCATCAGAGTTCCACACAGTTCTTTACTAAAGACGTTAAAGAAATGGTGAGGATCTTTTCTTTATTGTCTCCTTCAAAATGCAAGCTTCTAACTTTATATGTCAGACTTTCAGTTATTTGCACACTTGCTGTGCTTTTTATACAAACCTTGCTTGCTTCAAGTTGTATGAATTAATACTGCGCTAATGCTATGGTCCATGAATGCTGCAGGTGACATAAAAGAATGATTTTGTGGAAAAAAGGGAATGACCCTAACCCTGAATTTATAGAAACATACTTTCCTTTAAGCAACTGAAAACGCTATATCTGAACCAAACCAATACTTTTGACGTACATTTTCAATTTTTTTTTTAATTGTAATTGATTCAGCAGCATGCATGTCTTAGTTTGTGCAAGATGGAATTCTTAATTATACACAGATAAGTAGTTAATATAAGAGTAACTTTTTTTAATCCCGTTAGGCCATCTTAACATGTGGGAGTCCCAAACCGGCGACTCTATACACAGAGGAAGGATACGTAGTCCGATTTCAATTCAGGAGACCAGACAATGACAAGGATTATTACAACTTTAGGATCAGCATTCAGCGCTCAGGTATGGTCTAGCTGCCCAGTTTCTGTCAATATTCAAGATACCATAGTAGAGACAGTGACTGAACCAAGCTTCTGAGGATATCACCATCAGTCAGAAGGGACTATAACAACTAATCCTTAATTAACTTAATATGGAGTACTCATTTGGAGTAATTTTTTCATTCATTGTAATTTTTTGCATGCCATTGATCTAATGTTTTAATCATAAAGTCAGCTGAGTAGCCCAGATTATAATTATATCCAAATTAAGTCTATTCTAAAACTAAATGGTAGCAGCTGTTGGAATTTTATAAAAATCAAATCCTCTCAAATTTCTTTTCTCTAAACCCATAAAAATGGAGAGAACGAAAATGTGGGAATTTACAGTATTTATGTATTTCCTTTTGAATTTAAAAACAAATTGGAATCATATAATCTTTCAAAGCAAAAGGTCTTTTTGAAAGTAGAGGTTTGCATAACAAATGGCACCATCATTCATTCTTACCCATCTTATACATTTAAAAGAAGAAAATGTATATTTTAAAAAGGTTATTTCATTTAGGTGGTGCAGCTAAGGAGAAGGGTATATCTGTTGGAGTCAAGATTGGAGTCACAGTTATTGCTGTTGCGGCGGCCATTACACTGCTGCTTCTAGTGTACAAGTTTGTTAAACTTCGATGCGAGACCAAAGACATCGAAAACACAGCAGCAAATTCCCGCCGTGGAAGTCAGCAAGGAAGTGATTCAGGTAGGGTGGCTTTTTACATAAAACCAATCATAGAGAAGTGATTAGACACTTACTGTAAACACATCAAAAACATGATCCCTGTATATTCTTTCTTGGGACGTGTCAAAATACACTGTTCTTTATTGAAAACACTTACATAGAAGAATTTGACAGAAAGACATGGTCAAAAATTAGTAATTTAGAATTTAATGAAGTACCATAGATGAAGAAAGATATTTTTAAAAAATATGAAATAAGTATTTCTGTAACACACAGATGAGCTGGAACATTTACGAGACCATGCAGACAATAATTTTGTGATGACTGACTTTCCGTACGCTAACATGCCAATAGTGATCCTTAATGGGGATGAAGCACCGCCAGATTACAAAGACATAGCCCCACCAGCTTATGAGGAGGCACTGCAGATGCCTAAAGCAACAGATGAGGCCACCTACAGCAATGTGGGATCTATAAACAATCAGGCTGACTCTAATCTTAACAGAAACCAAGCAACCAGTCAAAATAGTCTCCACAGCAACACAGAGGCAGCAACAAATCAATCAAACAGCAACATAGCGGCAGATCCAAGTCAACCAGGTCTGGTCAGCAACACAGAGCAAGCAACAAGTCAAACAAATATAGCATCCATTTTGCAACCTAAAGCAAGTCATTCCTCATAGCAAGTCATTGTAAGACTTATACTAAGGATGGATTTAATAGATCTATTCAGTGTTTGTAGACCAGTGTGTGATTTTAGAACCATGCAGATATATTGTTTATAAATTTTCTTTATGCAAAAATATTTCTTTTTCCAAAGTATTCATGGTGTTTTGTGGTGAAAATCATGCTATTTAATAGTCCACAAAACTTCCTTTTGTCCTTGTGTTTATGTGCAGTCAACTGAATTTTATTTTATTCTATCCATAATGGATAGCATGCTAGAAGTTGATTTCAAGCTACCAGTATTCTTATCCTTTCAAGTATACCATCTCAAGATGAATGTTATATACAGTCATGTTATCATAAATTTCAAGGCACAAGAATTACTTCACAAATAATAAAATCATGAATTCTTTACTTCCATGCTTAGTGTATCGTACACAGAGATATTTGCCCATGTTATTTTTGGCTTTTTTTACTTGCCCAGACACTGCTATTGTGAAGACTTGATGCTGTCTTTTGTGAATTTGTACACTTTTAAATTCACCCTGATTGTAATGAGGGCAAAAGAGAAAAATTGAAATGGGGGCTAAAACTTTCTTGATTACTATTTTGCCTCAATTCACTCAGGACACACCTCTTTGGACCACTTGACCTATTTTTGTTTGTCAGATCACACACTAATAATCCTGGCATTCTAAAATGAGCATCACACCACAACTTTACATGTATTCTACTTCTACATGAACTCTTCAGTCACATATTTGCTAAAAAAAGGGGGGGGGGGTACATGAAGACTGGCTTTTTATAAGCTCCTAGTTCCTCACTGTATTAATATTTTAGTATATGTACACACAATAAGGGTATTATTCCATCAGGTAAATCTGTGAAGCAAAATGTTGGGATTTTTTTAAAGTAAAATTTTTGGTTTATACATGTAATATTTTGTAATTTGCTTGTGGTTTAGTTACTGTATTTAATCTTACTAAAACGAGAGCTTTTCTAGTGGTGCTTAAATACCTTGCTTATACATAATGTAATTTTATTTCATCTTACTGAAATATAAGTGCCTAAAAATGGCTTTATTGGTACTTAATAGAAACACAGCATTTTCACAAAGTAGACAATATCACTCTGGGGTAATGATTTTTTTTTTGTATTCATACAGAAATATGCATCGGGGATATTTTTTAAACATTTTTTTGAAATGTACAGTTTTTATTTAGTGTCTTACATAAATGCTGTTTTATGCCCAACTTTTGCTGATAAATGTTTGTATGTATTAGATATCCAATGTATTACCCTATTTAAATTAGTAAACAGAAAAAAAACCAGTATACATTTGACAGGTTGTACATGACTCTGTAGACATTAATTGAAGAGGCATTATTTTGATTTATTTATTGTTTTTGTTTTTTTTTTATTGTTAATAAGTATAGCTTTTGAAAATTGTACTACCTGTAGAACATAAAAAAGAATAACTAAAAAAATGTTATACAACATGTAAATTCTATTTATTTATCATGACTATATAGTATAATGCCTTGAGTTCTAAATCTTGTAGTATATTCAATATAGTTAATGTTCTCTATTTCCTTTTTTAGCATGAATTTTGATGATTTCATAAAAAATAATTATTGCATCAATTATACTTATTGAGATAGCTGCTTTGTTATTCTGTTACCCAGATTTTCTTTGTGCCTTTCTACATATATCTATTTGCTGCTTAGACATTTACCATAATTTAGCAAATGTTTCCATTTTATTTGTCTTCCTGTGTTTTTGCTGACATTAACGCTATGTTCCCGATTTGTTTGTCTTTCTTTGTTTTGCTGTTCATTAATTGTGTGTGATTGTGATTAAATTTCTTTTTTTTTCCATAAACTAACGTCAAAATATTGAAATCATTGTTTGGGAAAACATTATTTCTCTCATTTATAAACATGTAGACATTATATGTTGGTGATTATGATTAACTCTATTTTGTCTTTTTTCCCCTCAAACTAAAGACATGATATTGAAATCATTGTCTGGAGAAACATTATATTTGTATTCCTGCATTATTTGCCTCATGTGTAGACCCCCGGTTGTCTTTCTTAACTTCAGTAAAGTAGAGAGTGCTCACAACATTATTGAACCTACATACAGTTGTAAAACATTCTTAGATGTTCTAAAAAAATCATTTTCAGTTTTTTTTCTTCACATAGAAATCAATGTTAACATGTTTAAAATTATTGATTTACACTTTGAATTGTAGCATTGCTTTGTTAAGTTATTACGTAAAATAGTACTTATAGTCATGCACTCTCAGCATTTACATGTTATTGTTTTTCCATCAAAATTTTATGCAAAAATCATGCCTAAGAATTTGGACACATTTTTATTAAACTATAACTTTAAATTAAGAATGATATACATGTAATACAATTGTTTCTGATAAAATTCATTTATATGAAAAGTGAAACAAGAAGAAATATTACCAGTGATCTAGACCTTGAAAATCTTCTAGACATAAGTAATTTACAAAAGAACAACTTCTTGATGAAATGAATGATAATGTATGTTTTGTTTCTAAATTAATGTGAAATTATCTTTGCTTGAATTAATATGATTATAACAAAAAATCTGTGTGAAGTTTTTTTTTAGATGAGTACCAAAACCCTATAATTCTAGATCTACTTATAGGCATTCATTTACTTGTGAAGAGAAAATTTACCGCCTTTGGTTAGGAACAAAGATGGATTTCTTTTTTACAGTTCTTGAAAAGATTTGGTGTTTTTTTCCCTTAAATTTTTTTAGGTGATTTCAAGCTTATATAAATTTTGAAATGGATGCACATTGTAGATAATTTTGTTGATCTTAAGATTTTCATCTAATCTGATCATACTAGCTAGGGTGTGTTTTGCTTCTCCTTATTTTTCCTACTTCTATTGAACTTCAATATATGTTTGTTTGTTTGTTTGTTTTTAATTTTTGTACTAAAAATAAAGAGATTATTTGAAAAGATCAGTTAGATTTGAATCAAATAAATAAATATAATATTAAAAAGGCATTGGTGTTTGTACAGTCATGTACATGTATTTGCAGGTAGAGTGAGATTATGAAATATAGAAGATTTAATAGGTTCATTCCTTGATGTAATAATGTTTTAAACATTTGTCTTTCATTAATTTTTTTGCATGGTATGATATAATAAATTTGATTATTGTGTTATGAAAACTTAACTGAAGTTACTAAATAAAATGTTTTATTTAAATCCATTTCTTCGCCATGTTTTATTTGATTTGATAAATTTCCTCATTGACAAAATTTATAAGTATGAATTCTCTGAAGACCAAATTGTCTAAAAAAATTTTTTGAATTTCAGTGGGCCTTAATTTTGCTTCTTTATTTGCTAACATGTTTTTATTTGTTACCAGGCAGAGTTTTTTCATAAACGCCCACATGATCAGAAAGAAAACTTTGATGTAGCTTTCAGTTATATATACATGTGTGACGAGTATTGAAGACATTTTTAAAACAATTTATCATAGTGAACAACATATCTACTCGACATTATTTTAGTGTAATCAAATAAACGGCACCATTGTATCCCAGATTTGTTTCAATTTAGATGTTTTACATATTAGACGTTTATTACATCAATATGAGTAACGTGACGAAGCATCTTGCCTTATTTCACGCAATGATACTTGTGTCAAGTATGGTTGAAATTGTCCCATTGGTTCTGGAGAAGATGAAATTGTAAAAAAAATAATAAAAAATGGTGGTATACTTCGTTTGAAAATGGTGGGCTTCTAAATAATCTACAAGAGAAAAATAGAAACTTGAGGTTTATTAGTCGTGGAGTCCGTATTACTTAAGTCAATTTATTAACAAAATCTAGGATCTTGTACATCTTATTGAACGTTGGGTGCGAAAAGTCATTTTGCTGCTTCAGAAAGATACCGAGATGTAAATCATTATTGCTTAAAATACATTGACCAAAACTATTTCTATTGTGACCCCTAACCACCAATCTTATTGCTTTACAAGGCCATGTAAAACATATTGTTATAAAAGAAAGAAAATTGCCAGAAATTTTAATACTTAAAGATAATTATTCCTGGTTTATATTTGTTAAAACTGTATAAAATGGAAACATGCCTAAAAGATTGGCGAATACATGAATTTTGTTGGATAGAATACATTATTTGATGACTCTTTGCACTGTAGGAAATGAAGAAAAAATACTTGGATTTTTTAACGCATCATACTACTAAAGGCTTGATAAGAATATGATGTACATTTATGTAACCATATTACATGTACTTAATCCTTTGCTTGCAGGTTTGTACTTAAGATCTTTAATTTACAAGATCATGTTCTGGGGATAATATAAGATCAGTCCCCACTTTCACTCACTCTTTCTACAGGCCCCAATGCCATTCCCCATCCTTTTTCAATCAAAAGATTGACTCAAGAATTTTGCGATCATAGGTATAAAATTGAGTCTCATCATCAAAGCACGACTTATCCAGTTCAATCTTTTCCTCTTTTTAGGTCACCTGAGTAAACTCAGGTGACCTATTGCTATCTGTTTTCGTCCGTCGTCGTGCATCGTGTGTTAACATTTGAACATTTTCAGCTTCTTCTCTGCAACCACTCAACCAATTTCCACCAAATTTTACATAAAGCATCTATTGGTGAAGGGGAACAAAAATTGTGAATTTCATGGTCCCTGTCCCCCTGGGGCCTGTGGGGTGGGGCCAAAACCACTAAAATTAGTGCAATCTTAAAAAATCTTCTTCTTTACTCCTGGACATCAAGCAGTTAGACTGTTAGCATGAATGTAATGAGCATTGAGTCTTCTACCAAAATTGTGAAATTCATGGCCCCAGGGTCAGGGGTTCTAGTGCTAGGGTGGGGCTCTATTGATTATATGGTGAAATTGCATTATTTCTTTAAAAATCTTCTTCTCTGCTCCTGTATATCAAATAAACTAACCAAGTACATATGTATGATGAGGAAGAATGCCTTTTGCAGAATTGTGAATTTCATGGCCCCAGGGTCAGGGATTCTCGTGTTAGGGTGGGGCACTATTGATTATGTAGAGAAAATGCAGAATTTGTTTGAAAATCTTCTTCTCTGCTACTTGGTATTCAACAAACTCACTAAGTATATAGTTATGATGAGCAAGAATGCATCTTTCAAAATTGTGAATTTTATGGCCCTAGGGTCAGGGGTTCTGGTGTTAGGGTGGGGCTCTATTGATTATATAGTGAAAATGCATTATTTCTTTAAAAATCTTCTTCTCTGCTCCTGTATATCAAATAAATAAACAAACCAAGTACATATTTATGATGAGGAAGAATGCCTTTTGCAAAATTATGAATTTCATGGCCCCAGGGTCAGGGGTTTTAGTGTTAGGGTGGGGCTCTATTGATTATGTAGAGAAAATGCAGAATTTGTTTGAAAATCTTCTCTGCTGCTGGTTATTCAACAAACTCACTAAGTATATAGTTATGATGAGCAAGAATGCATCTTTCAAAATTTTGAATTTTATGGCCCTAGGGTCAGGGGTTGTGGTGTTAGGGTGGGGCTCTATTGATTATATAGTGAAAATGCATTATTTCTTTAAAAATCTTCTCTGCTCCTGAGTATCAAATAAACTAACCAAGTACATATTTATGATGAGGAAGAATGCCTCTATTGATTATATAGTGAAAATAGATTATTTCGTTAAAAATCTTCTTCTTTGTTCCTGGGTATTAAATAAATTAACTAAGTTCTTAGTTATGATGTGGAAGAATACCTTTGTGAATTTCATGGCCCTAGGGTCAGGGGTTCTGTTGTTAGGGCGGGGCTCTATTGGTTATATAGAGAAAATGCAGAAATTGTTTGAAAATCTTTTCTGCTCCTGGTTATTAAGCAGATGAACTACCTAATATATAGCTATGATGAGCAAGGGCCATTCTTCCTGAATTGTGAATTTCAACACCCCTGGGTCAGGAGTACCATAGAGGGGGGGGGGGGGGGGCTCTACTTAGATACTGGAAATGAATTGATTGAAATCTTCTCCTTTGTTTTAATCAAGTATTTTTTATAAGCAAGGGTGCCTTTTGCAAAATTGTGAAATGTGTGGACCAAGGGTCAGGGGTTCATGTGTGGTAGTGGCACTATACTGATTATTGCTGAATATTACTGATTAGTCGAAATGCATTTTTTTGTTCCCCTTCTCTGTCTATGGGTATTAAGTAACCAAAGTAAACATGCTAAGTGTATATATAGTTATGATTTATAGCAATGGTGCCGCTTTCAAAATTGTGAATGCCATGACATCTACTTTAAAACATGAACCAAAGTCAATCATTGTAAAGTTGTTGCATGATGCTCAGGTGACCTATAAGGCCCATGGGCCTCTTGTTCTCTAAGGACAGTTGCTGAGTGTTTATATATCTACCTAGTTCCTCAATGCTGATGATTACAATGTATCCTTCAGCGACAGCTGGAATGGAAGTTCATTGCTGTTAGTTGTTGCATTTGTAAACTTTAATGATTATGCAACACAGAGAAGGAAGACATTCTAAAATCCTTAACTTGGGGTGTTGATTATAAACTTTATTCCCAGGTTTTTCTTTTTATGTGCATATATAAATTTTTAACTGTGAGTTACTGCCTGCATTGGTCTTGTCCACCTGGAAAATATATTCTTGTTCTTCCTTCATATCTATGTTATTCAGTGTCTTGCTTATAGTTTTGTTATACCCATCTCTGTTCATTATTGTCATCTTTTTGTTACTATTACTTCGGTTGTTTTGGTATGGATCTCCATAACCTTGGTCTTTCTTGTGTTGACCAAGTCGCTTGTTTTTCTTTAAATATAGGTGCCAGGTCATCTGCAAAGTCCAGAGGTGGTCAAAAAGATTTCTTTTTGTGTTTTTGTCTTCCTTCATGAAATTAAATCTAATGTAATCAATATCTTTCCAGGCAACTTGTTAGTAACATAGGTGTTAGATGTTACTTTTAATCTTATATGATCCACACCAGGAGCTTTACAATTACATTGTTAGTTGATATGTCTTCATATCTTGCAGTCTCCATTTTTGCTTCAGCTAGTTCTTGACTTATTCCTCTTATCTGATCTTGTGCGTTCCTTGACCTCTTTTTTTTCTAGCCCAAACTTCTTCTTTAGTTTCTTTTTAAACCCCACCCTTTCTTCAACTTGATGCTAAGATTTTTTGCATCTGTCTTTTTTTTTATTACATTATTTTCTGAAATCAATTCCTCTTTTACTTTTTTTTGTTATGTATCTGTCTGTAGAAGAAATTTATTATATATAACTCATTCTTCAATACTGGTGAATTTTTAAAACGTATTTCTTTTCTCCTTTATTTTCCAATAAATAAAGTGTTAGCAGATAGATTGATATTGATATGATTTGATACTTGTGTAAGGATATAGTATAAATAGTTTTATGGATATGAGTTGAGGAATAAAAAAAATATTGATCATTGTTGTATTGCATTTAGGGGATTTCAGATGCAGAAAATGTGACATAATTTTCGAATAGGCATAAAGATGTTGTTTTATTTAAAAATAAAATCATTTGGCAAGATATTTGTGTACATTATCTTAGCATATAAATGAAATAATATATTTATTTTGTCAAACATGCTAAAATTATCTTAATTATTTTTTTCTGAACTTAAAAATTTGTGGTTTATGTTCGTAACGCATGGTGTCCATATGCACTGAACTTTTTAACACCTCTCTACAAACATTAAATAATTTGTCAAGTTCAGTTTCTGTGTTTAATTAATGAGTATGTGTGATAAATTATTTTTAACAATATGCTTCATGAACATAACTCAGTTATTTTTGTAATTTTCAAATGATCTCTGATTGTAAAATGTTTGGTGTCTTGACCGTTATGAACATAATAGCTTTCAGTATGATTGCTAAAATAACAGCCAATGAATCATAAGTTTGGCTCAGAGAGTCTGTAGCAGTGGAGTAATTATAAATTAAAAACGAAAGTAGAAAGGTTGCGCAGCTGTCTGCTAAAAATCATGGCGATGCTCATTGTGTCCATATGGAAAAAAGAAGTTACGAACATAATAGATTCGGTAAGTATTTTCATATTGTATCAATTTTAGTGAATGTTTAACACATAAATACAGTCATTGTATTTTTATACCATGTAGCTATTAATCAGAAACTGAAATATGTCTCTTATGACCATACAAAATGCATAAATCTGTCCGAGTCGAGTTCTTTCGGTTTAACATTTGACTTTTGATTCGCGTCTTTTGTTACGAACATAAGTGTTTTTGCATTATTTGTATAATCTATAAATGATAAAGTTATATTGTACTATATTTTATTCTATATTTGTTAGTTTTGTTCTGCTCTTATCAAAGGATGAATACTTATTGAATATTTGTTTTAATATTGTCATATCATTTACGCAATTACGTTCGTAACAGAGACACGAAAACTTGAAGTAGTGACATAATTTGTACTTTAATTGCCTTGTTTCTGGTTTTAACAAGGATATATAATAAATAAATAATTGAACAGCATATGTGTTGATTACATCATGTTGTATTTTGTTTTATATATATTTTTTTCTTTCAGATTTACAAGAAATGACTGAATTATGTTCGTAACAATGACACAAAGATCCAAGACTCAAAATAGAAGACCTAGGATATTTAGTTATTCATCTGACAATTTACTTGTCTGCATTAATTCTCTTTGAAAGCTTGTCTATTATTAAGCTTTGAAATGAAATATTTAAAGTATTAAAGACAAGTGTTCGATTGTCTTGTTATTTTTTTGTTCCTTTTTAAAGCCTGATTCGGAGTTAGGTGTCCATGTTACTTACATAATTTCTCCTTTTTTGAAACTAGAAATAAAAATTGTGACTTTTTAAATAAGTTCCATTTAATATAATATTAAACATGATTTCATCATACCTTATTGATTACATTATTTTCATATTTTAACAACTTGTTAAATTCTAGTAACATGTTACTTGTTTAGTGCTTATGTAAGTAACGGTGTCCATTGGTAGTCTTGGATATATTTTCTAATTGTAATGGAATAAGGCAGAAATAAGTCATGCAATAAAACATGCAAACTAGTGCTTATATACTTCAAAAAGAATTCACCAGAAAAGAATAGCTTATTGTTCTAAAAAACAGTCACTGTGGACACCAAGTTACGTACATAAACTTTCAGACATGCATGTACATTTGGACACCTATCTCCTCTTTAAGACTTCAGATTATCTTCCCTTCAATTTTTTTCAGAAGCAGGAAGGGTACTGATTTAATTAATATACATAAATTATGAAATTGATTATTTTTAAAAAATAACCCTTTGGTCACACATCTGAACTCAGTACTGAAGAATGAGTTATATCATAACATTCTTTTTTCCATCATTTTCTATAAGAGTAACAAATCTATTCTTGGTCTCCAATTAGAGTGTCTTTTCAATTCAAAATGCTTCTATTTTTAAAAAACGACCGGAGACCGATCGTTGGTCCGTTTGCTTAGTTGCTCTTCTTCTTCATTGCTGCTGTTGTTGTTTCATTGCTTTGCCTTGCGCAACTTTCTCAGTTTTGCGAAAATTATAGAGAATGGTCATTTCCAATGTAGGCTCCATTCTGTGCAACTATATGCTTTAGATCTGTCTTCATCTCTTGTTGATGATTTTATGGTCGATCTGGTTTCTGGTTTGACCATCTAAAGAGTTCTTTAGAAGTAGTGTTGTTTAGCTTTGTATCTTTTTGTGTGTGAATATGGTGCCATCCATAACAAGGCTACTCTTCACATCCTCTGTTAAATGGTGACAAGTTTAGTATATGCAGAGTTGTAACTTGTATGATTGTATCTAATTTTGATTCTTCTTTTATTATCCGTCTCTGCTAATTGCTAATCATCTTTCCTGTGAGAAAACTTAAAATTCCATCTTTAACATTATATAACAGAGGTAGATGCTATTTGTAGAAGATCGAAGTCTCTGGTCCCACTTATGTTCATTTCCATTTGTTGTTACATTGATTGATTGATTGTACATGTATATTGTTTATCATCCCTCTCGAGAATTTTTTAACTCATATGGAGATGCCACCACTTGCCGGTGGAGAGCTGCAAATTTTGTCCCATAATGGGCACTAAAGGCCATTGAGCAGGGAGCAATTTTTCCATCCAGTGCCTACTGCGACACGGGACCTCGGTTTATACAGTCTCATCCAAAGGACCGGTTTCCACGTTCCACAGTGGGATTCGAACCTTCGACGTAAGGATCAACTCCTTACTTCGCTACTCTAGAGCAGACGCTCGAACCACTGCCCCACGCGGGAAACTGTTGTTACATGAAAGAGCACATACTGTGACCTCAACGGACATTTAATTCTTTAAATTCATATAACAATGGAGAATTACAAAATTTATAATTTACTTTAAATTGTCTTTAAATACTTGTTGGTCTCATTTTATGCTGCAGAATCTTGAACATTTGTTACTTCTTCTTTCAGGAATGAAGGAGTCTTAACAATATTAAATAAATGGTTTACCAGTACGTTTTCTGTGATCCGACATGAGAAATGTATCGATTTGCTAATTATTCCATTGGTGTTATTAAAAGTACTAACTATAAGTTTTAAAGAGAAGTTATAAAATGTTATTCATGTTCTAAATGTTTCTTATAAAGTTTTCTGTCCATGTCAGTTATATCATGTCTTACCTTACTTGAAGGTCTCTTCTCCAACTGTTGATGTACGCGGTGTTGGTTCTTCAGGCAGTATTACACAGCCGGGCTTTAGACACACGTAACTGTAAGTTAAATATGTCGAAGGGGTTTATTCCTTGAAATATACTTAACAGGTTTTACAGGCTAAACAGGTGATGAGGGTTAATTTTTAGAAAACATTTAAGGTAATAACTATAAATTACTTGAGAAGCCTTGCACGATGATTAATATTGCCACCCATTGTATACGAACTTCTTTTTAACTTGTAAATGTAAACTTAAATATTGTATTATTAATTCTTGGTTTTGTTTAAATTGAAAAGTGCTCAATAACTGAAAGGTTTTTTAAATATATCAATATATGATACTAGTAAGCTAATCTTAACGAAGAGGCATGCGCTATCACAGATATCCTACAAGATGAGCACAAGTGTGACGTAGCCATATGTGGGGCACAGACATATAATGTTGAAGTGAACGAAGCCATCCTGGTTTCTGGTGGCGCAACACATTCTTCTGTTGACCATGATCATGATGGTTGTGATAAGGGACTGGTTTGTGAGCTCCAGTTATACCCAGACACGAACGACAACGAGAAACAGCAGCTTCGTATCATCTTCAGATCCTTCTACATAACGTCTGATAAAATCCAGTTAAAACTGGATCAATCTAGCACGACTTCCTTTCATGACGTTCATTCCATTGTAAGTCAAAATATAAATTATCCAAAACGCTTGTTCCCTACAGTTCTTAAAATTATTTCTGTTTTAGCTCAACCAGATTATATTTGTATCAATGAGTGAAAAAATAAAACACTTGAATTCTTAATATGCATTTTTTAGGCCATTTTAACGAAAAACTCTTCAAGACCAAAAGATTTTATGACAGATATTGGCAATGTCCTTCGGATTCGACTCACAGGGGATGATGGAAATAGTTCAGATGGGTACCGGTTTGAGATAAGCATCACAAGAGCGGGTGAGTATCTAGCAAAAGCTGTAGATTTCTGGATACTGACAACTGAAGTCAAATATTGAACACATTCTTTATGAGGCATAAATGTACGAAAAATCTATGCTATTTGCAGTTTCTTGAATTTAGTATCATTCGAAATAAAAGGGTTTCTCTGTTCCCGATGTGTATTGTTTAAATATAATTTACAAATGATCTCTGTTCTTCATATTTTATTTGCCACATGGCGCAGTGGTTAGAGCGTAATCTACAGAGTCGCGAAATAAGGTGCTGATCCTTGCATCGCGGGTTCGAATCCACTGCAAGACTTGGAGATCGGTCCTTTGGGTTAGACAGAAAACCCGAGGTCTCGTGTCGCAGTAGGTGTTAGCATGAAAAGAGATCTCTCACTGCTCAATGGCCCTGAGTGCCGAGTATAGGTATAAATTAGCAGCCCTCCACCAGCAAGTAATGACTTCTCCATATGAGTGAAAAAATCTTTGATTGATTTGAACATATTTTATTGTAATATAATTACAAAGGGATTGAGCACAAGTTCTGTAAACTTATAACGCCCTCTCCCTATACATTTAAATTACACATTTATATTGTCACAGTTAAACATGCTATATAAAGTATTCAGTATTTGCAAAAGTAAACAAATTGATGCATTTTGCATATATGTATGAATATATAAAAAGTTGAACAAATTCATATATTAATATTGGTACAGTATTTAACAAGGAAATCTACCAGAATGCTTAATAAATGTTTGAACAAAAGAAAAGAGACGTTCATTCTCTGTAGCATTCAGTGAATCAACCCCCCATAATAAGACATGTGTATCTAGTATGTGGATTTTATCAAATTGTAAAAAAAAATATGTAAAGGTCGTTATTTAATGCACAATTATGTCGTAGTCTGGTTTGAAGAACATTTAGTTCAGTTATACATTCTTTAGAGAGAATAAAAACAAACAAGCAAATATTATTTATTTGTCTTCACAAATATGCTTAAAACTTCATCTGGGTTGAGGATGATCAATTTAGATACAATAGCGTTTGGTTGTTGGGAGGTCCAACAAAAGCCAACTTGCATTCTGGCCAGGGTGGCAATAAATGTAAAGTACATGTATTGTATTTGCTATTATGCATAGAAGCAGTTTTAATTAGAGGTAGTCATAATGTAAAGCAATGCTGGAGAAAAGTATTTTATCAAATAGAGTATCACATCTGATTGACAGGAGCTTCGTTTACGCCCCCTTCGCCATCTCCAGAAGTCCCAACCTCTCTCTCACCCGGTGTCATCGCTCTCGTCGTCTTCATTGTTGTTGCTGTCGTTTCATTCATCGTATTTTTGGTTGTAAAAACCGTCATTCTGAGGGAAAGGATGAAAGCATTCCAAAGAAATAGCAGAGAATCACTGACAGGTATAAACCTAGACGACGGCTGTCCAGGGAACCGGAGGCGGGTCGAATCGAACACGTACACACCTATACCAAGGGAAGTCGGTGATGGTAGGATTGAGAATTATATTGAGAATTAACAATTATAGAGACACAAAGTCAACAGTATGTCATATTAATAAAAAAAATCGTACAGTCATTCTTATTTGTTTACATCATATATATGTGAAAGTAAAAAATCCACTGTATAGGTAGTTTACTATATTTACGAAATGAAAGTAATTCCCTTCACTAGAGGCAGGGTAAACTAAACTAATATTATCCTATTCTTTTTGATATATTGATTGTATTCTAAGTGAAAAAGCCATTCTTTTACAGTCGACAATCTTTCTGTTCTTAGTAACAAATTGATTTATGCCGAGTAATATATAGATTCTGTTCCTAATGGCATAGTGGTTTCTATTCTTAGTGATATAATGAATCTTTTTCTTTTGAAGTTTTGACATTGTGAATCTTTTTAACATTGATTTCTAGTGTATATAATATTGATTTCTAGTGTCAGCATGATATAACTCCTTGTGACCTACCCTTTAACGACAAAGTGATCCTATTCCTACTTATACAACGATCTTATGCCAAGGAACATAGTGATCCTTTCTATAAGGACATAAGGATCTTGTGGAATGATGGTCCCATTCCTGATAACTCCATGACCCAATTCTTTAGCGAATTTTTTTGTAATTCCAGTGACATAATGAATTCATTCCTAGTGAAAAGATTCCATTTCTACTGATATACTGGTCCAGTTTGTATTGACATTACAGTGTTGGAACTTGTTGATAAAAACGTTATTGATGTATTGATCCTATATAAAGTAACATAGCGTCATATGTCTATGGGCAGTCATTCCTTTTCGCTTATAACATAAAGATCCCAATCCTATAGCGTTATAATGATTGTTTTCCTAGTGAAATAGTTATTCTATATGTCTAGTAATATTGTGATTTTATTTCTGTACAGAGCTGAAAAATTCATGTACACTATAGCTATAAAATAATATAAGTTTTTATTTTCGCCCTAGATTCCCGGCCCGAGACCCAGCGACAAAGAACGGAGGACTCAAGTTACGCGATGACAGACTTTCCTTACGTCAACGCACCTATTGTTGTAATTAAGACTTCAGATAGTTCACATCCATTACCATCTGCCCCGCCCCCGGCTTATAATGACGTAATGGGATCGTCATAAGAACTAGCTATAGGTACAGGTTGTATTATGAGTTAGCTGCTCAAAAGCTTGATGTATTAATTCTAATTTGAGCAGAATTTGAAGAGTTTGGAACATTACTAAGTATATGTAGCTACCTTAGACATGTATTCCATGTGTATTCTCCAATCAATATATTCTATTAGCAAAATATTGTGATCTCAGGTGTACATCGTTTGATTTATTGTTGAATGCAAATTGATAATTAATTATACTATATCATATATTATGTGAATATGTAAACCAAATGACTTATTTTTGAAAATGAAAGATTTTTTATTGTATATCAATGTAACATTAAAGCATATAAATGTATACATATATTTTATTTACCTGTGTCAAGAAGCATTATTTTTGGTTTTCAACTTGATATATTTATTCATATATCATGTGTATTCTATAATAGGGTTTAGTTAATAATGGCATTTTATTTTATATTGTGTATTTTAATTGGCAACACTTGTTTTATTTTGCAAGAGCTTACAAGAAAGCATATCATGAATTTATCATTTTAGATTTACATCTGAGAGTTAAATTTTTGGGAAAATACATATAACATATTGATAAAAAAAAATATGCAACATCTTGTCACTATTAGTATTTCTAACCTCTGAAGGTTAGGGCATTTAAGTAGTTTTTTTCCTGTCCAACCGTCTGTCTGATCAGCTGTCTATTTTCTATTTGACTGCAAAAACTTTGCCCATAACATTTGATTTCATGGAGATACGGCTTTCATTTTTTTCCTACGCAATGAAAAAAGAACTTTATTTTAAAGACCAATAATTAACATATTTGGCCTCTTGAATTTGAACTTTGGGTTTTACCCATTTTTTGCAAAAATTTACAAAACTTTAATCTTGACCTTTTGAACAGTTGGTGCTAAGGCTTTCATCCTTCCTTTTTCCACGACCTTTCTTTGGGTACAAAGTTTTTTAATCTTGACTTTGTAGTTTGACCCATATCAATAAAAAATCAACCTGGATACAAACAATTTTATTCTTTGACCTTAGAATTTGGTGTTAGGGCTTTCATATTTCACATGTGTTTTCTTTTGCCAAGACCTCTCTTTGGGAACCAACAATTTGGAGCCTTTCACTTCGATCTCTGAGTTTTATCTTTTGAACATTTTCAATCTTTGCCATAGCTTTTGAATAGTTAACGAGTATTTTTTTTATTTCATATACCTGGGTATGTATTTCTTTTGTATGTGCTAGACGAGTCATTTTGTACAAAATGCTATATATTTTTTTACAACTACTCCGGGAGACAAAGCAACTACCCTCTTCATATCCTTGGATACATTGAACATTCCTTCCATTACCCCTTGTACGAAACAGAATGCGTTCTTCCAAGACCAAAATTGGAAGATTATGTAATGTCATAACCTTGATTCAAAAATGACAATCGATATTCTGCCCATAGAAGACATAGAAGACCCTATGTAACAGTTAAGAAAACAAGACTCAAAAATTTAATTTTTTATTAAACATGATGTTATGTTACATTTTGCTATTTTTTTTACTTTTGTAAATTCATGGTTTTTTAAAATAAATTGCAAGGGGAAAAAACTCTTGTTGTTTTCTTTTGCCTTTTTCAGAAATTGAAAAGGAAGTATTAAGAATCGGTTTTTTTTTTATTTACATGCATTTTTTAATTTAATTTATTAATAATCTTTTTGGCCGTCTACATGAAATACATGCAAACTTGAAAAAGACGTTAATAGTTATCTAACAACCAAGCTTATGATAAACGTGATGACTTTAATTTTCCTATCGTCAACTTCCCTTACTTATGCAGCAATATACCTTCATCATCTGCATATGCAGTTTATATATCTCAGTTGATTCGATACGCAAGAGCATGCTGTACGTATGAACAATTTCTAAAATGAGGTAAATTATTGACAAACAAGTTGATGAAACAAGAATATCAGCAATCTCGTATAAAGCCATCATTTTGTAAGTTCTATGGTCGATACAATGACCTTGTCAGCAAATACAATTTGTCATTGAGTCAAATGCCGACTGACGTTTTTCATACTTATTGTTAGTCCATTTTTATACACTGAATTGACGATGGATTTGTCCGTTATTTCCCGATCATGACAAGGAGCACACGGTGGGTGTGACCGGTCGGCAAGAGATGCTCACTACTCTATGACACCTGATCCCGCCTCTGATGTTTTGGAGGTCCGTGTTTGCTCTGCTCCTATTTTGTATTGTTTTCTGGACTTTGAAATTGAATACTATTCGTTATCTCAATATATTTCATGCATAAACAATCTATATATTCACTATGTTTATGTCTCTGTCTGTCCTTTTCCATTGCTCTTTAAATTCAATAAGGTGAACAAAACAAACAGAGACATCATTAAACATAAAACTAAAAGTATACATATTACAAATTAATGATTTTACCTTCCTAGATATGGCTTTCAGAAGTCCTATGTAGAATAGCTCCCCTCTCGGTCAAAGCAAGATGCATGTATTTGACTTCTTACTTAAAAGTATGCAAGAGGTGAGAGATTTTTATATCCATTTGCATTGAAAAGCTGCAGTGATTGAAAACAGTATTTGAAACATAAAACAAAGCTCAAAAAGAAAAAAATATATAAACATTCAACGAAAACCTATTCCATTATTACACAAATACACGGTTTTTTTTTTAAATAATCTCTGAAAGAGAAAGAAAATATTAAGTTCAATAAAAACTATTTTTAAATAATATTAATATGTTTTTTTAATCTTTGTTATATAGCGCCATTGTGATCTCTTATTTCACTTTGAGTTTCCATTGCAATTAAAACAATTAATGGATACTGCCATTCTTTTTATAATATTCAAGGGTACCTTTAGCTGTATATCACTGTAACTTTTACAAATTTTGTATTCCTTTTTAAATTCTGAATTTTATTTCATCAAATTCACTTATATACCATATACATCTGACTTTAAATATTTCAATGCATATGTTTTTTTTTATTATTTATTTTCACATGTATTTCATAAAAAAATGTTTGGACACTGGCATCAGGAGAATGTAACATTCTGTAAAACTCAAGAATACTAAAATATCACGGTCAACGTATGAACATCTCCACCAGTTGAAGTCTGGCAACTTTTCGGTAATGAAAAATTAACAAAAAAAAAATATATGGTAGATATCAAAAAAGTTACCTTGGACCCGATCCTTTTTCCAGAACTCTCGCTTGTTTTCTTGAACTTTATTTGCATAAATCTGTTTGTTTCATAACACTAAGAACATGTGGAATACCCGTGTACAATGTATATAAAATAGTTGCTGTGAAAACGGAATGAATAACAACTTCGTAGTCATTATTAATTAAACTAAACTGAAATTTTTTTTAAAAAATTCACTTTGGAAGTTTAATTCTTTTTGACTGTACAAAAAGTTTTAATTCATTTAATAATGACAAAGAACATGTTATGATAAGGTTTTGAAAACATTTGGTTTTGATGATTTTTTTAATTGAAGTAATATTTTCTGTAAATAATGTCATAAGAAATGAAATTTGATGATGTGCTCATTTTCTATTTTTTTTAAGTTCTATATTGAATGGTTTAAAAGTTTATTTGGAAAATAATTTTATTACATTTGATATGTCTTGTTTCAAACTGTAACTGAGAATTATTTGTTAATATCATGGATTTTAGTTAAATATTGTCTGTGAAATTAGACCGTAGTCGTCTCCTAAATTAGAGATTTGTTTTCACGTCATTGGTACAAAATTTAAATTTTGAAAATTCTAAATATGGGAGTGGACCTGTGAGTCCACTAGTCGTGTCCTAGATAAAGAATTACTCATGTTTCAGTTATAATCCCAGCTTAAAACTGGACTTGTTCATGTTATTCGCTTTGTGATTTCGTAACATACCTTTAAACGCCACCTATCGGACAGGTAAACGAATACCAAATATGGCGACCGAGTAAACAACGATATTACTGTTACACGACAGAAACTTGATAAGGTGTGACTTACTGATATCTGAGGAGAATTGATTCTTGTAAACAATCGGCAAATAAAACAGGTAATAGGCTGAAAATTAATCACTTTTATCTTTAGACCATTAACATAAACAATAGTAATCAAACATCAACTACCTTGTGTTTCTTAATACATAAAGTGACATATAAGTGGCGGATCCTAACTTTTACTTAGAAGTAGGAAATATTTCGGAGTGAAAAAAAATATTCAAGTACAAAATAATTTGCTTTTGGTATTTGGTGACCGTGACATTTTAAGAGATACTTTTGAAACTGAACACAATAAACTTTTCAGTATGTGATATACGTAATTCTATGAATTTTGAATTGAACTTATCTTATTGACAAAGCCAAAAGGATAAGACACAAGTTCTACAACTTAGATCGTCTTCTCCTTAAACAAAATTTTATAAAATTGCTATAATAAAGTGCAATTATTTTCCGTAAAAAATCAACTTGTAGTGTCAAAGACTATAAGCTTGATACCAAAATACAATTCTATATACAAAAATTAAGCAATTCTATATGTATAAAAAAAATGTTTTTCAATACTTCCAAATAATATAATAACGTATTTGTAAAATATAACTCAGTTGGGTGAATCATTCTTCAATTATATTTTAAATAAACATCACTTAAATAAGAATGTTAACACATGATTATTTTCTTTATTTTAAGTGAGATGGCATCATATAACCCAGATGGTTTTTCAGACAATTTTGATGGGTCAGAATTTGATGCCCATCGAAAAGCCAAAATATTGACAGAAAAGCAAGAAAAAAGTGAAGGTTTTGACAATCCCTGTTTAGACATAGACGATGGAACAGACAATTCTCCCGCCACTCTCCCGATCACACAGGACGATATTCACATCGACACCTCTCTACAAAGTAATGGAAGCACTGCTCCCAATACGTCATCACCTCCAGTGACATCACTTCCTGTTCTATATACTACAGAAACAGGTGGTTCCAAAGTTGTTAAAGAACAGGTCATCATTGGAGGTTCTAATGGAAAAACAATTCAAACTCAACAGACATGTTGCCAAAATGTTCCCGAGAGATGGAGAGATATAGAAAGACAAAAACCATTGACTCAAACCCGAATCAAAGTGCTCAAAATTTTAAGTATTGTGGCATCAATTTTCTTCTTTCCCCTTGGAATTCCTGCAGTTGTTTTTGCATTCAGACTTCAGTCCACGCTAAACGAAGGCATCATGCAAGGGAACATAGACAAGGCAATAAGTTTAGCCAAACGGGTAGAGCGACTGATTATCTTTGCTGGACTCTTTGCTTTATTAACAGGAATTTTAGTGTTTGCCCTTGTTGAAAGAGCACATATGTCTGAGGAGGAATTGAAAGCCAACCTTAGAAACAGAATTTTACCTGGCTGATACTGAATAATATCAGTCATTAACTAAAGTTGTGGAGTGATAAAAAACCAAATAACAAGCTCCTTTAATTGATTTCATAAGTGCCAAACTTATGCATGTTGATGGTATTTTTGGCAGTGTATATAAATGGGATATTTATTTTTTGTAACTTATACATTTAGAATCTCATTTATTCGTGTTCCTTTGCCTTGGAGAGTTACTCAATTGTTTTTATTTACACACTTGTATTCCATTTTCTTTCCCAAAATATTTAGACAAGTAATTGTTTTGTCTATGAACCTTATACAAATGTCTTAGTCGTACTATTTCTAGAAACTCTTGAAGTATATATATATTTGCTTGAGTTGTATTTTTAAAGGGGCTTTTGAAAATACATTTTTGAAGGAATTTTGCAATCTTACAATCAGGCAGGTGAATCTTTTTTTTTTAATTTGTAGTCAATTTTTTATTTCTAGTTTTCAAAACAATATCTCTATATAAGTTCTCTGTATGAATACTCAATTTGCAATGCGCGCTTTTTGTTTTTTAAAAGATATTTTTTTCTCAAACAACTATTTTTCATATTGTTCAAATTGGTACATGTTTTAGATTGTAAAAATACTCATATTAACATGTAATCATACAAGAGACGAAAATTCTTTACTTTAAAGTCTTCAGTCTTTACGGGAAAGAAACGAATTGGAGAATCTAACTGTTAATATACCAAAATGTATTGTTTTAAAGAAAAAAATATATCTATAAACATTTAATTTTGTTTATACAGTATTGTGATATTTTCATTGTCACGACTGCTTCCAAAACCTTTTACATTTATATATATACTACATTTTTTTAACATCTGTGTCAGATATCATCTTTGAATGTTATATTTGATATTCTGCATAATATGTACACATGTTACAGTTTGAATAAAACTTATAATATTGACAATTTATCTTTATTATTTAAACACTTGACTGACGAGATTTTCCCGTTATTTCCTGATCATGACAAGGAGCACAAGGCGGGTGTAATTGGTCGGCAGGGGATGCTCACTCCACCATGGTACCTGGTCCCTTCTCTGATGTGTCAAATAGGTTCATTTTTATTCTTCTGTGGATTTGTTTTGTTTAATTGACTTTTGAGCTCGAAAACTGTTCGTTATCTCCATATTTTTCTTGGTAAAAATTTCTTTTGTCTTAAATGCCCATCCATTCTTTCCTAGGGAAGCATCTACAAAGAGGTAGGAAAAAAGATTTCGATGTTAATGTTAAGCAAATATAATACTAACTAGATGGTCTATTGCCAAAACACAGAAACAACTCGAAACAGAAAGTTACATGTATATAATAATAAAGATAATACCCTTGGTGGTCTTTGTTGCTTGCTTTGATACAGATCTTATGTTGCATATCACTGGCGTCAGTGTCTAATTTGATACCGAACAGTCAACAAGGTCATCGGCATTGCGGGTAAAATATTAGTTTTAATACCACACCCTAGTAGTGAAAAATTGTAAAGAAATAAATAACAGAATATTGGAAGATTGACCTTTCAAGTCAAGACAGAAGTCACTAAAAATTATTTTCATAGGTCAAGGATGGAAATAACCATTGATAATTGACAATACGTCGTTGATATATCTAAATGTCGAGTTGAAGCCCACAACAAGTGTTTTTTTTTTCACGTTTAAGATTTTGGACAAATTCTGCTTCATATAAATACAAAAATAGGTCTGCTAATAACGGGGAGCAATTAGTACCCATGGGAGTTCCAATAAATTGTTGGAAGACCTGGTCTCTAAAAACCATATCTAGATATTGTCAATCAGAAACTCATCATTTGAAAATCAAAATTTCTGAGTACTTTTGTGTACAATCAGAATGTTTTTTAACAAAATAATTTTGCAATTGACCAATCACAAGGTTAGTAAATTTACGGGTTCCATTTTTATTGAAATTTTTTTTTATCAAAATTATTTTCAAATTAAACGAGTCGTCCGCATGGCGCAGCGGTTAGAGCGTCTGCTCTAGAGTCGCGAAGTAAGGAGTTGATCCTTACGTCGCGGGGCCGAATCCCACTGTTGGACGTGGAGACTGGTCCTTCGGATGAGACCGTATAAACCTAGGTCCCGTGACGCAGTAGGTTCTGGCACGAAAAAGATCCCTCACTACTCAATGGCCCTGAGTGCCGAGCTAGGACAAAATTTGTGGCTCTCCACCGGCAAGAGGAAGCGTCTCCATATGAGTGACAAATTCTCGAGATGGACGTTTAACAATATACAATCAATCAGTCAATCAAATGAAACAAAAACTCTATTCCTATTTCATCCTGTTCTACTTTTTCTATGCTTGAAAAGATAATGCTATATAACTATTTATAAGGCTATTTTACCAATCCGGAAAAGATTAAAAATACAGCTGTATATAAACAGAATGGTAGAAGCTAGAGGACAAAGATATAAAAAGAAAACAAAGCTGTTAGCTTCATTTATACAATACGGAGTCATGTTGACTGTCTTGTTTAGTCGATAAGGGCATTAATACCAACTGTACACAGACAAAATGTCTGCAGGTAAAAGTATATGATAAAAAATATAATGACTCTTAATTCTTGGTCCAATTCTAATTTTGATATAACACAGGGAAAAAAATTATCCTAAATATATTTGCAATTTACTCTTTTTGGTAAGATTACAATACAGTGTTTTAATAAAAAAAAAAAAGTGACGCTTTAACATGCATACAATGTAATCAATTTAGAGATGCTTGAATTTTAATTATTTTTTTTAATGTTTAATTATATCTGAAATAATCCTTGCCAATGTGGTAAAGACAAATATAAACACAAACACTGCAGTCTTTGTTGGCAGGTTGTCAACATAAAACAATTCGATATGACGTTCCAGGAATTGCAAGGAAAAGTGCTTTTCTGTGTAGGGAGAATTCAGGTCATGACAGAATAAAACTTATCATTGCATCTGTTCTTTGAGTTCTGTCTCTCCTATAAATAAACCTCGATACTTAATGCATAGAATTATAAAATTCTATGGAAATAAGTGATGCTTAGAATTTCTCAGCTTGTCATAATTGACTCTAAATCGGTCTCTTGCAGTTCGATTTTTCCATTAATGAAAATTGATATGTTTTCTCTGATTTCGCCACTCAAGGAGACCAATTACGCTGTGGCAACCAATCACAAACAATAGGGTTATTGCATACTCCCACAGCTGTTTTCGTTGAGGTTAAACGTAGAAAGTGTTGTTTTCTTTTTTTGTAGCCATGACTTCATAAATGAAAGTTTTTTGCGCCTAAGATTGGGGAGTGTTTATAGTTATGACATACATTCATGTTTATACATGTATCAATAGAAATCAGTAAGGAACGAAAACAGCCAGCTGAATCATTTTTCATCCATATAATATTTCAGATTGATAAAAAGAACATAATGGTAATTTGGGTATGACAAAACAAAGAAGACCTGTACATGTCATGAATCATTGAAAAAGGCAGATCAGTCAGTAAAGCAAACGCTTAATTTTATTATATATCTGCGTGTTACTTGAAATTCATTATGATATACCTATATATTGTTTTTGCTATAGATAAAATTAAGCAGCTTATATGAAATATTTTTCTTCAATAAGTGATTAAAATAATAATAAAAAAATTACTTCACCCTTTTCCTCTTTCATCCTTAATAAGAACGATTCGAAACTCTTTCCAATTTCTTCTTCCTTAAAGAGAGTAAGAGGGAGTAACTAGTTTTCTTATGCTGCTGGTTTTATATCATATTTTAAAGTCTGCAGATCTCACATTCAAAGAGAAACAAAGTTGATACAACTTACCTGTAAATTATTATAGTCTCTTTATAGAGAAAGGAGGGAAGGCTGCATACATTAATTTTATCACCATCAGTCCGTCTTTACCTTTATTCAGTTGAATTCAATCCTTCAGTATTTTTTTGCGGTAGTGTTTTGTGAACTAAACTGATTATTTGTATTGAAAAAAATTTTGGATCAATATAAGTTCAAATGGTGTTAGACTCTTTAAATTATAAAAGTAATGCCTCCTCCCCCTGATTATAGAATCTGCGAATAATTTGTTTTCCAGAAGTCTTGTGTTAAATTCTAGATAAATCTAAATGAAACGTAATGTTTTAAGAAAATTTTGATTATTCTGTAAGAAACTGAATTTAGAATAAAGATTCATGTTTATATATAGAAAACTTGTTCTTTAAGTAAGAGTTTCATGGATTTGTCTCGTTTTTGCTAATTTTTTTTTTATTATAGTTCACTGAGTAATAAAGTCATTTGAACTTTGCACATACAATATGGTACACAACTGGAAGCAGTTAACATTTTATTAATGGATTTCATGTTGCTTTCACTGATCATTAATTTAATTATAACTATCGTAGGCTTTACTCTGTCGTCATAATTGTTATGTTTTATTGATTGGCATTTCATGTTTTTCCTACGTCAAGTTTTCTTCTCCTAGACTTCAAATTAAACGACATTTTTACGTCGAATAAGCCCGCCCGTTAAAAATTAAATGTATTCAAAACAACTGTATTACACACATCCAAAGAGTAAGCAAACATTGAAAACGATGATAACTGTTGGGATAATTATGAGATAAAGTGACTTCCATAAGTTCCTTACAATGTTTATTCGCTGAAGAAAATTAAAAACTCACAGAAAAGAACGGCTCATTAAAGCTATAAATCTGTTCGAGGACCCTCCATCACGACTGTTTTGATAGGTTGTAATTGCTTGCAATCTGTTTCCCTACAGAAGACGCGTTTTCAGAGATTGTATGAAGATGTGCCCAGAAATAGTGAAAATAAGTGAATAACAAGAAAAAAGAATTCAGTTCAAAATTCTCCAGTTTACACCGAAGTAAACTCATTTCGATAAACAGATATCTGATTAACTGTAATTAGTACTTTGGATTTAGAAAAAAGAAATCCTTTTCAGGCTCTTACATTTAAATATAGTCCTTCTATTGTAATCTTGTTAAAATGCCTAAATATTATAAAACGTAGACTATTGCATGTAACATTTCTTTCTCCAAATCTTTTATCTATTTTGCATGAGTTTGCAAAATTATTTCAGCTGTTTGAATTCCAACATGTTTAGAGAACAGAGGAAAACAATCAACAGTGAGAAGTGCTTGCATGTCGATGTCTAGAAAACTTTGAAAAAGGCACCAAATTCTAAATTGGTATCCATGCTTCTGGCATAGAATCTAATGGGGAAAATCCAGAGTATTAATGAGGAATTACAATAGGATATTCATAGAATTTACAAACAAAGATATTCATCAAAAGAGATGAGAGTAACGGATGCTCACAAATTTAATTTTCCGAAATGTCCGACCAGAATCGCTAATCATTTTGCACCATTATTTTCCGAAACAGCTGAAATATCAACATTGAAGGTCATTGCAACATTTAAAGAATGCTATCGTTTTTAGCTCACCTCAACGAAGTGGGGGGGAGCTTATGTAATACCCTTGGCGTCGGTGTCGGCGTCCCAGGTTAAGTTTTTTGGAGCAGTTTTCTTTTTAAGTACTTCTATGTCCTATATTGATTAGACATGAATGGAAGATGCTTCTAGTGTGTTTCATTGTAACAGTCAAAGTTTCAGATGCTGCAATTTCAGCAAAGGAATGACCAGGCTAATTTTTTGGAGCAGGTTAACATTTTTGGTGCACTTTTTGGTGTAGGTCTCATTTCCAAGTAACTATAAGCCCTGTGTTGACCAAACTTGCATGGATGATACATCTAAGGATGCACACTACCGGGTTTGCTTCGGATGCTGAATCTGACCTACATTTTCCGGTTGAGTGAACAGGTTAATGTTTTTGGTGCAGGTCTCATTTCCAAGTAACTATAAGCCCTATGTTGACCAAACTTGCATAGATGATACATCTAAGGATGCATATTAC